GGGACGTGGGGGGCCTGCCAGCCTCCGGGGTGGCGGGTGGAGTGTCTCCAGTTCGGGGCTCCCCGCCTGACCTTTCCCCTCCAGCGCAGCCTGGCCATCTCTCTTTCTCTCTCTTGCGCGCTGTGTCTCTCTTTAAAAAAAATCCTGTTTTATTGTGGAGAGAACACATCACACAAGAAACTACCCTCCTACATTTTTCTAAGTGTATAATTCACAATGCTGTTAATTATAGAAACAATATTGCAGGGCAGGTTTCTAGAACTTACTTCATCTTCTTGACTGTAACCTCATGCCCAGTGATTGCATCTCCCTGTCTCCCCCTCCCCCAGGCCCTGGCAACTGCCCTTCCACTGGTTCCGTGAATTAGCCGATTTTAGGTAGTGGAATCGTGCAGTCCTTCCGAGACCGGCTTATTCACTTAGCATAACGTCCTTCAGGTTCATCCAGGCTGTCGGAGATTCCAGAATTTCCTTCCTTTCTTTAGGGCTAAATCATAATCCCTGGATGTGCCACATTTTCTTTACCTGTTCATCCACCAGTGGACACTTAGGTGGTTCCACATCTTGGCTGTTGACCACGGTGCTGCTGTGAACCCGGGAGTGTCCATATCTCTTCGCCATCCTGATTTTGATTCTTTTTGATAAATACCCAGAAATAGGATTGCTGGATCATCTGGTAGTTCTGTCACTGACCAGGGTTCTTGGCCTCCTTGAGCAATAGAAATTGACTAGAGACCAGACAAGAGATTCAGGCAAGGCTTTACTGGGGCCGCTGCTGCAGCAGGGGGAGCGAGAACAAACAACAGGTCCCCTTGCTGGCTGGCTGAGGCGGGGGGCAGCTGGCTCCTTACGTGGGGTGAGGGTAGGGGTGCGTCCGGGGGTCGGGCGGGAGTGGTGGCTGACGCGTTCTGCCCACCCCTTGGTGGTGTTGAGTGCAGGGGGCCTGCGCAGCACCCTGCTGTCGCTCCCGGCTCCTCGGAAGTGGCAGCTGGGTTCTTTGGGCCTTTTTGTATCTTGTCGTCCAGAATTTGCCCCAACTGGGCATGCGCGCAGTCTTTTTTTCGTCCCTTATAGTTTCTTTGTATTTTGTTGCTTGAGGTGACGTGTGTCCAGGTGTGGGCACTGCAGCAAAGGGCCCCAGGTCCCAGCCTGTCTCAGTTCTATTTTTCATTTTGGGAGGAACCTGCATACATTTTGCATTCCCACCAACCGTGCCCGAGGGTTCCAAATTCAGCCTTTCACTTTCCTGCGTCAGCCAGCGCGGGGCCCCAGCGCGGGGCCCCTCGCCCCGTCCCTCCCTTGCAGTACGGCGGCCGGCTGGGAAAATCCTTCTCACTCTGTGTGATGTCTGGGGATCATCTCAGCCATCCTCTTCTCCTCCTGGCTCTTACTCCCATCCCTGCTTTCCCTAGTTTTTGGTGCATAATTCAGTCTGCAGTTGTTGTCTAATAAATTCTTTGTGCACAGCATGGTATTAGGTGCTTTCGCTGCTTCATCTCCTTTGATCTTCACAACGTCCGTCTGACGACGCCGGTGCTGTGCTCATCTCTGCTTTACCGAGGATGAGCCTTAGTGAAGTTTAGTGATTTACCTCGCCTGCTCATTGGAGGATGATTTGAACTGAACTTTATTCGCACCCAGATCCCTAGTGTTTATCTTAGTTCATTTGTTTATCTTCATACCATATCTTCCCAACTCTCTGAGGCCCGGGAGGCTGTCTTTTATCTTCCTGTACCAACCCCCCTGCCAGGGCCGGGCACCTAATACATGCTCAGTAAATATCTATATTTGGATGATTGGTAGAGCAGGGTTTTTATTCCCAGGCATCTAAAGACAGCTCTGCGTGCAAAATTTTAAAGATGCACTGATTATACGAACACTACTGATGTTAATGATTCTAACCCACAAACACTAACAAATATCTCTCCTTATAAAGTATATATCTTTTTTGTTATTATGCTTTATTATTTGACCTACATGTTATTTATGATTGTATTGATTAATTTTAAATTCTTTTCCTTTTTTCTTTTTTAAACCCCACATTTGTTTATTTATTTATTTTTTGGCTGTGTTGGGTCTTCGTTTCTGTGAGAGGGCTTTCTCTAGTTGCGGCGAGCGGGGGCCACTCTTCATCGCGGTGCGCAGGCCTCTCACTATCGCGGCCTCTCACGTTGCGGAGCACAGGCTCCAGACGAGCAGGCTCAGTAGTTGTGGCTCACGGGCTTAGTTGCTCCGTGGCATGTGGGATCTTCCCAGACCAGGGCTCGAACCCGTGTCCCCTGCATGAGCAGGCAGATTCTCAACCACTGCGCCACCAGGAAAGCCCAAGTATATATCTTTCTGCTTATATATCTTTATATATCTGTCCTTACAAAGCATTTTTACACAATTACTTAGATTCTAAGAGGTAACAAAATGCTATCAATTGTGAATATACTGTCATTTTATGGTAGAGGAAGGGAATTCAGAGAGGTTGAGTGGACTCCTGCAGTTAAGAGAGAACCTTGAGGACATGAGAATCTTGGGTTCCTTTTCTTTGGGCCACAAGCACACGCAAACTCTAAAAGGACTTTGGAACTTGTAAAGGGCTGTACAGTGTGAGGATGAGTTATTTTATGAAGCAGCAGGAGAGAAAGGATCACGTAACCAAGCTAGTTAAACCGGGGGAAGCAGTGGCGCAGTGAGCCGTTTTGCTTTGGGTCGTGGTTGGGACGTGGACAGGTTGGGTTTGAGGGGAGACCCTCCGTGAGCATCTGTCCAGCCGTGCGCAGCTGCCCTGACCTCAGGAGAGGGCTTCCAGCCGGAGGAGGACAGGAGAGGTCTTTGTTTCCACTTACTCGTTCGTATTCTGTGTTTCTGCTTTTGCTGCTCACTGAGCCTTAGGGTCCTCGCCTGCCATCCTTTGCCCTTTCTGCCTCCTCATTCCTGTTCGTCTTTTTATGACCACTCGAGGAGTGCCTCTCCTGGCCACCTCCTCCCTGGTACAGGTGTGTTGTCAGGACACCGTGGCCTCACCCTGGTCACTGTACTTCCCGTATCGTCCTGTAATATCCTTGCACTAGACGGTGAACTCCTTACGCTCAGGGACCAGAGCTCTTTATCTTTGGTTCCCTGAGTCCACCATGGCTGCCTGGTTGTTGAATGACGGACTGATCGTTTGCAGGCACCTGGGGGGGCTGGGGGTGTGCACGGTTTTCCCCTCGCGAGGAGTTTCCTGGAGCACGAACTTTGAAGCGTCTGCACGTGAGGCTTTGTCGATGCCTGTCATCAGCGTTGACCAGAGAAGTGCTTGGGTGTCTTTTTTCAATTGTGCCAACCCATCCAGTTTGTTTTAAAATATCCTTCAGTTAATTTTACTCCTATTAATTTTTTCAAGTGGAAAAATGTTTTGTATTCATCAATGTTAAAAAAAATACTCTAAACACAATGAGGGCTGTCCTTGTGGGTGTCTTCCTGCAGTTCCAGCTTCCTCCGATGGTTCGTGGATTCTCTCTGGTGTCAACTCTCTCGTCGATGTTCATGAATCGAGTTCTTATCTCTGACTGTCGTGTCCTTTGAAGTTGGGACATTTCGTTTCCAATCCCCTTCCAGACGTCGTGGCTATCTCAGCAGCCCTTCGCAGTCAGCATTCCAAAAGCAGAAGTGTCTGCTCTCTCAAAGCGCTCCTCCTTTTGAAATTTCTATTTTTGTAACTGGCAACTCCGATCGTCTAAGTTATAAACTTTGCCGTTATTCTCTGCCACCCTCACTGCACCAGTCAGTCACTTGCACGTACGGTTAATCCTGGGTAATTAGAGTCAGAACGAGGGCTCTGAAAGCCATGCCTTCTTGTTATCTCCTCTGCCCCTGCCTTTATTTATTTATTAATTCATGCGCCGGCTGTTTACTGGGTACTGTCCACGTGCTGGGCGCTGTTCCCGGCAGTCAGAATACAGCAGCAGACAGCAACAGACAAAAGATTTGCCCTCGGGGCTTCCCTGGCGGCCCAGTGGTCAAGATTCTGTGCTTCCGCTGCAGGGGAGGCAGGTTTGATCCCTGGTCGGGGAACTAAGAGCTCACATGCTGTGCAGCGCGGCCAAAAAATTAAAAAAAAAAAAAAGGAAGATTTGCTCTTGAAGACCTTACTTTCTAGGAGCGAGGGAGACACATGGCAGACGTTATGATCAGCAGGTAGATTATTTCGGACGTTGGAAGGTGAGTGCTATAGGAATGGGGGGGGAAGTTTGAGGTTGCAGCACGAGGTAGGATGCAGCTGGGCGTGGCTCCTGAGCCTATTAGGGGGAGAGTCGGGGGGAAGTGATCCCAGCCATGTAGACCAGTAGGAGAGCTTGGCCACTGACTGAGTGGAATGGCCCTTGCGGAGTTTCAAGCAGAGGAGAGATACAGCCTAAAATAATTGAAAGTCTCGCACGGGCTGCCCTGCTGAGGACAGACCGAGGGGCGGAAGTGGGAGGGGTGGAAGCCCCATCTTCTTGTGCCCCGACGGTCGCAATAGTGAACAGGCCCCTGCTTTTCTCTGTTGGGGCGGGTTTCTTCATGCTTCGATGCTCCTCTCTCAGGTGCGGGCCCGATGACACCGCTCCCCAGCCAGAGCTGCTGGGACAGAGCCCACCCTCTGTGGCCCCCCTGAGACCCGGCCCCTCCCCTACCCCCGTCCCGCTCCCACCCTGGGCGCTGTCGTTCTCCCGTGCCTTGTAGCTCTCTCACTTTCTATCCAACAAAACCCTTTTTTTTTCCAAGTCCCATCTTCTCCTAAAAGCCTCTGCAGCATCTCCTTGGCAGAATGAATCCGTCCGAGCTCTCACACCTGGGGAGGTGTTTGTGCCTCTGATGCGCGCGTTTAGTTCTCAGCTGCGCGCTGCCCACCTGGGCGGTGGGCTCCTGGTTATAAGGGCCCCGTGTTCCTCTTTGCATCTTTTGCTCCCTCGGTGCTGCCAGCAGGGCCTCACTCAGCCTTCGAGATGGTTCTGCTTAGCCAGCTTTGGTGGTTCTGTCTTGCAGATTGAAGCCCTCGTCAAGGACATGCAGGACCCAGAGATGGGGGTCAGAGTGCAGAACCAGAAGGTCACGGTCATCAGCGTCCCTCACGCCATGACGGGTAATGTATCTTGTGATTTGGTCTTGGCCTGGAACAGACTGTACACAGAGGTCGGCAGACTATAGCTCGTGGGCCAAATGCGCCCCGTGTTCTGTATCTGTGAATAAAGTTTTATTGGAACAGATACACGTCCTCATTTATGTATTATCTGTGGCTGCTTTTACTCTGCAATGGCAGAGTTAAGTAGCTGTGCAGAGACCGTGACGTGGCCCACAAAGCCGCATGTACTTACTGCTTACTTGCCCATTCATGCTCCACAGGCTCCTTCTGGGCAAGGAGGCAGAAAGGAAAGAGAAAAGAATCCAGTAGGTCCCCTTGTGAAGCCATTCCTCCTCTCCAGGAGGTCATTTTAAAAACCTTTACTGTTGTTTTTTATTTGATTGTCTTGTTTGATTTGTTTTAATAAAATCAAGTAGCAGAAAAAATACTATTTGGCAAAAAAAAAAAAAAAAAAAAAAAGAATTGGCCTTTGTTTTCTCCATCCTTCCCTGTCTCCTAATTAACATTCAGACCCTTCTTGACTCCCCCAAGGGCAGGGCACCTTAGTCTCCTTTCTCTGGGGGTGGGATAAAGGGCGTCATTTCAGGATATCGGCAGAAGGGGCTGGACCCCCAAATAAGAATGCATTTTGATCCGTGCGTTGCGATGGTTTTGTGATTTGGGTAAAATCTGTGCGTTGCGTTTGTTTTGTGATTTTTGCAGTAAGGAGTCCCTTTCCCACCGAGTCGTGTTGTTGGCAGAGGGGGGCTGCTTCTCAGAGCGCGAGCCTGGGACTCGCCGCTGTGCTGAGTCCCCTGTGAGCCCTCGCTCTTGACGCCATCCGTGACCTGAGTATTTGTCACTCAAGGCACTGGGGTCTCTGCAGAGGCAAAGCCGGCCGGAAGGAGGCGCGTCCCAGCCAGCGCAGCGCCTCTCGGGCTCCCTGAGTGTGAGTGACAGAAGGCCAGCTCCGGCTGGCGGGAGCAGCAGAGGAATGGCTGGCATGCGACAGGCTAGCTCACAGAAGAAAAGAAAACTCCAGTGGTCTAGACTTGGGAAAGACTAGGACCCAGAGCAGCCTGGGTGCCCCAGGACGTTGCAGGCTGCCTCTGACCTCTGACCCCACCCCCTCCCGGCTCCTGGTTGTCATGAATTCTGGTTGAATTCTCCACTGGATTGGGCAACCCTCGAGGAGAGAGATCTCGTCTAGCTCATCTGAGTAACCCCTGCGCTTAGTGCAGCTGGGGGTCAGGGTGGAAGTTTAACAAAAGTTTATCGAGTGCATGAATCAATCCTGGTCTCGAACTGTCCAAAGGGCCCTGGACGTTGAGTCAGGCACCCTGGGATTGAATCCTTTGGGTGCCTTTTTTTTTTTTTTTTTTTTTTTGCCGTGTAGCCCTAGTCTCCATTTCCTCATTTGACAAGCAGAAGTAGTGATCCCTGCCTCAGGGGATGCCTGCAGGAACCAGACAAGGCTCTAGTGTGCACGTGGCCGGTGCTCAGTGATGCTCCACGGGGCCCATAGCTGGCTGTGTCCCGCACTGTGTCACCCACGATAAGCGTAGGGAGAGATGTGACCCCCCAGCCCTTTCTTGCAGCCGGGGACACGGAGACGCAGAGTTCCAGCATCTTGTCCCCAGGTCACTAAACGCATCCAGGGCTGAGCGTGGGCTTGAACCCAGCTACACCGCACAAGTGTCCATGCTCTCATTCCCTGTCCGGGATTGCAAGCTGCTTTCCTTCCTGGCAGGTGGGGCCCCTGGTTCCCTGGATTTGGTGCGGGGCCGCCCACCCAGCCACGTTCTGCCTTGTTCATCCTACTCAGGTGAGTCCCAGCTGCAGTCGGAGCCCAGGAGGAGCCCTGTCCTGCAGTATCGGCCCTAATCAAAGCAAACGGGATCAGTGCCACCCGACTCCTCAGAGGGCAGGTGACTCAGGACTTAAGGGGACGACGGTGGCCGACGTGGGCTCTGAGCAGCCTGTGGTGCTGTCGGCACAGATCACGTGGTGGACACACCGGGGCCCCCGTAACCTCATTCGACCTATTTCAGGAAGCGGTCAAGTGGATGAGAAAACCTTCAGCCCCTTGGTGGGGAGCGCTAACCTGTCTGCTCTCTGCCGGGGGCTCTCTTTCCTGATCTGCACACCACCGTGTAGAGACTTGGGGTGGAAAATCTAAAACACCCAGTCCTGGGATTTTTAAGTAGGGGTTTAGGTGAAGAATTTTGCTTTTGAATAAGCAAAGCGCTGACTAAAGCCAGGAGCCACAGGGAAGCCTCTGAAAGCCATTGCGGTGGGCACGTGGGCGTGGAGAGCTGATAGCTGGATATCTGTGGCCCGGGGTGTGCGCAGGAAGGGCAGTTACAGGGGGTCCACCCTCAGCCACACTGTGGGCAGCTCCTTCAGCCCAGAGAGTGGGGGAGGGGTCCTAAGCCCTCCCACCCCCCCGCGGGTGTCAGAAGAAACGCCCCTTGGCCACCCCCAAGCAAGCGAGGAAGTGTCCTTTGAGACAGTCCAGCTACAAGGACACAGGCAGCGGGGTTTCAGACGCTGACCCTCCTCCTTGGTGTGTTTTGTGGGCTGGTTTCCACGCAGGCAGGGGACCCAGCTCGGCCTCTGGAAAGCAGGCCGGGGTGGCTGGAAAATATGGTTGTTGGCATTTGCAAGACGACGTCGGAGTTGAGGTGCATCTTTCTCCCGAGATGATCCCGCCCGCCTCCTGCGAGGAGTGTGTTCTGCCGATGGGGCCAGAGGGCCCGGGCTGAGTGGGAGGCCACAGCTTCCCTGGGGTCCTGCATCAGCTGTGGACTTGGTGGGACCCAGCTTGCCTTGGCCCTTAGATCAATCTGAACACTTGCTGGGGGCGGAGGGGTGCACGTTCCCTCCTGCTCTTGTCCCCGTGTGCCTCCCCCGGTTTCTTCCACGCCAGCCTGCAGTCTGCGTTGCTCCCAGGCCAGCCCCTCGGCCTTGCAGTGCCCAGGGCGAGAGGGCGCACGGAGCCCGCATTCCACGGTCTGAAGTGGTACATCACCCCACAAAGTGTTCCTTAAAAAGCGGTTCATCTTAACCGCTTCGACAAAATCGTCTTTACAACGACCTGGAAAGCCAGGTTTCGCTTTAGAATTCTCTGACCCCTCAGAGTTCTGCCTGGGAACTTGGGGGTGTGGGAGAACCAGCCCTGCCCTTGGCGCACCCCTTTCCCCTCCCGTCCCTGGCTCTGATTTACTCCCCTGGGTCCGGGCTCCATCCAGAGTTCCACGGACAGCTTGCTTTGGGTCTGTTTTGTGTTTTTTCATTGTTAAGTCTTAGTCTGTTTACTTCCTACTCGGTGAATGACGTCCAGGCACCAATTATCGTAAGGAAAGAGAATAAGTATCACAAGAGAGGTGAAGCCTGAAGGGTGTAGGGGACGTTAGGCTGGAAACCTGGCCAGAGTTGGAGCATGGACGGCCCTGAGTTATGGGCTGCAGGGTTCGGACTGAACTTTGCTGGGGGGAGTGGGGAGCGGCATCCCTGAAGCTTTTGAGCAGAAGAAGGACGAGATCACGGCTGAACAGGGAGGAGGCCGGCTGGGCGACCGTGTGGAGGGGGGCGTGGAGGTCGGGGAGGCTCTGACGGTGGCCAAATGCTTCTGCTTTGCAGGGAGTGATGTTCTCCAGTGGATCACCCAGCGGCTGTGGGTCTCCAGTCTGGGTGAGAGCTCGTCTTTTCCTCCGGGACCAAGGGCTGCTGTATGCGCATCACCCTGGGGGCACCTCTGGAGGGTAGAAGCTAAACGGGGGCTCAGCCCGCGGCTCTGAGAAATTGACATTTTAATTGGAGAGATGAGAACTTCATGGGTAATCAAGAAAGACTTCCTGGAGGGGGTGATGCATACTGTGCCCTTGGTCCCGAAACAAGCGATGCCTGTGAATCCTGGAGGGAAGCTCAGAGGATCTGTCTTCCCAGCGGGGAAATTAGCAAAGACGTAAACATGGAATGAATGAGGAATGGAGTGGTAACAGGGGAAATGGGGAGTAGTGACTTCAGCTGGGTGTGGAGGGCAGTGGACGGGTGGGGTGCACCTGGTACATTCTTGGATTCCAAATTTTATCTGGGAGAGAGGCAGTGTAACCCATGGAGGGTTTTGCAGCGTGGCGGTGTGTACAGTAATCAGATTTAAGCTGGGATGTTAGGCAGCAGTCTGAAGGATGGATTGGAGCAGAAAGCCTCGGGGACCTGACTTGCCACTAGCGAAAAGGCTGTTGGTACAACGAGGGTCTGGTCTCTGATAGAGGGAGGGAGATATGAGGAGGGAGGGTGGGGAGGAAGCCTCCCCGCTCCTGGGAGGCTGAGCTGTGGGATAGGATGTGGGTTGGGTCTTGGGCCTGCAGGATGGGAGGGCTGGGATTCTCTCTTGATGGTAGAAAGACACCTGCTCTCACTGGTGCCTCTGAGAATGAACCAGGATAGTTATCCTTTAATCGATGCAAATCTAGAACCAAGACTGTGTTTCTGAGCAGACTGAAGGCGGGTGGGAGTTGAAGGGACGTGGGGAGGAGCCTGGGATCTGGACCCAGGGTGCAGGCAGAGCTGAGCTTGGGGTAGAAGTTGACCATAAACACAGCCTCACCTTTCTGCCCCTCTCGGGATGACGAGATGTCTGTTGGTCAAGCAGAGACGTTCTCTCCCTGCTCCTCTGGACTTCTCCAGACCCAAAGGGCCCAGCGATGCTCCTCCAGTATTTCCCCGCCTGTCACCCCAAACACCTGCAGTGGATGACCTGTGGCACCATCAACAGTGGGGTCACTGACTGCCCTTCAGACTTACTGAGTTGTCATTCGGGGGTTGGGCAGGGGGACCCTCCTTTTAGCCTTGGCTACCCAGTTGATACCTGTCTGCAACTAAGTTCAGGAACCACTGTCCCCACTTCTCAGCTGAAGTGCTGTTAGGATGGCGGTACCTGACCTGAGTTTGGGGTGCTCTGTGCGGGCGGGGCCGTGAGATTCTGTCCTTGGCCCCTGCTCTTAACTGCCTTGTCTCAACCGCTTCTCCCCAGAGGCACAGAACTTGGGCAACTTTATTGTCAAGTACGGCTACATCTACCCCCTGCAAGACCCCAAGAACCTCGTTCTCAAGCCTGACAACAGCCTCTATCGATTTCAGGTGAGCCTTGGCCTTGACCTTTGGTGTTAACAGGGGGTTAGTGTCATCTGAAAAGATAATTGGTTGGCTTCACATCCTCACAGATCTTTAGAAACAGTGGGGGGGCTAAGGCAGCTTTATGTTTTAAGCTAGAGGGCTGGGGGCCAGGGGTTCACAGCCCAGCGTGTAAGCCTGGTTCCCCGGTTTCTCTTGCAGACACCGTATTTCTGGCCCACCCAGCAGTGGCCCGCTGAAGACACAGACTATGGTAAAGCTCCGCCCCTCCTCCTATGCCCTGGGGAGGGCTTACCACGCCGCTTATTTACTTGCTGCGTTTTGGTGACACTTGTCTTGCTGTCATCACGGCCTTTATGTCAGTTCTCACCTGTATTGGGAGTGATTCCCAGGGGAGGGACTGGGTCAGCTGAGCGTTCTCTTCACTAAGCTGAGCACGACAGCCTCACGCATAGAGGGGTTTTGAAATATGAGGATGATGGGAAATGTCGTTGTTTTCTTTTCCAGCCATCTATCTGGCCAAGAGAAATATCAAGAAGAAAGGGATTTTAGAAGAATATGAAAAGGTATAGAGATGCTGTCAAGTATAGGTTCTTATAATTGAGTGGAATATAGTCTTGAGCTGTTTTCCCCTGTTCCCCCCATCAATCGATTCATATGTACCCTCATCATCCATCCATCCCTCCATCCCTCATCCATCCATCCCTCATCCATCCCTCCATCCCTCATCCATCCATCCATCCGTTATCCATCCATCCCGCATCCATCCATTTCTCAACCATCCATCCCTCATCCATCCCTCCATCCCTCATCCATCCCTCCATCCCTCATCCATCCCTCCCTCATCCATCCATCCCTCATTCATCCCTCCATCCCTCATCCATCCATCTGTCATCTGTCTGTTGATCCCTCATCCATCCATCCATCCATCCCTCATCCATCCATATATTTAGAAGCAGCCGGCTGAAGTAAATTCTCCTCCATGTTGAGGTTCAGCTTCTCCTGCTGTAACTTAAGCCCTTGCCTCAGTAACTACTGGGCACACAGTAGCTACCACTTTCCTTTTGCTGTCCCAAAATAATAGGACTTCATTAATATGTGTGATAATGCATATTACAGGATGGACACATTTGAACTTGAGTTTGAGATGGGGAGACACGAGTGCAGACTTTTGTTTTAGGCAGGATGAGTCATACTTCTCAAGGAGCACGCCCTAACCCTCACAAGGCTAGACTTCTGGGCAGAGAGCAACGATCTTGCTGTGTTTTTGCCTTTTGCAAGCATGTCTGCAGAAGGCCAGCATCACAGCAACGTTAGGGCTTAGCTTGTGGATTTGTTGCGCTCTGTGGTTGGACGCTAAGCCCCCGTGCTCTCCCGCACGCGACCCCCTCTTCCTTACCAGATTTGGAACACACTTATTAAAAAAAAAAACCAGCCAACTTGTGGCTTCTGTTGTGAAGGCTTGTGGAGAATTCGGTGCTACCCTTTGAATGACTGCCTTTGCACAGCTGGGCTGGGAGACCGTCTGGCTGGGTCTCGTTGTTGACTTAAGGCTTCCTGCCCTCTGCACACAGGATAGGTTGCGGGGCTCAGTGTTCTCATTTTGTTTTCCTCCTCTAGGAAAATTATAATTTCTTGAACAAAAAAATTAACTACAAGTGGGACTTTGTCATCATGCAGGCCAAAGAGCAGTACCGGTGAGTCAAAGATCTTGTTGGTCCCCTGGTTGTCTCTCCTCCTCCCTTCCTTCTTTGTTTCTTTTTAATAAAATAAACTTTTATTGAGTGTTTATGTGTTAAACAGTGGGTGAGGCATAGGGAAGGTAGAGGCATCGTCTAGGGAGCCCGGCAGGCAAGCAGACAGGCCATGATGCCTCAGTGAGTCGAGAGCCCCACGTCGGGGTTTGGAGAAGGAGCTGCAGAAACAGCATTGAATCTGGAGGCTGCAGAGGGTGTATCCAGGTGAGGGATGGTGGTGGTGGATGGAGAGGAGAGGAGAGGAGAGGAGAGGTGAGAGGGACGCTGCTCTAAGCAGACAACCAGAGTCTGGGGGCATGGCAGTGCCCGCCTGATGCCGTCCCTTGGAGCTGGCACAGAGAGTGCAAAGCCCCAAACTGGCGGAAGTGAGGCTGGATGTGTTAGCAGGAGCGGATCGGGAGAAGGTTTTGTGCTCAGGGCCGTGGGGAGCCATGGAAGGGTCTTAAACATGGGAGAGCTGTCATCAGAGTCACCTGTTAGAGCCCACTCACCGCTCGCCCTCATTTACCGGTTCAAAACTGGACCTGAAGTTCCCCCTGGGGGCCCTGCCTTGTCTGTAAGGGCCAGCTGTACATGTTGGGGAGCGTGTATCAGTCAGGACGAGGTTAGGCTGTCGCAACAAACGTCACCCAGCAATCAGAGGCATGAAACCACAAGGCTCGTTTCTTGCTCGTGTCACGTGTCCACCGTGGGTCAGCTGGGGCCCTGACATGCTTGCAGCCACTCCAGGACTCACGTCACTTCTGCTCACAATTCACTAGCCAAGGCAGCTCATGTGGTTATGCCTGCTTCAAAGGAGGGTGCACGGGGTGCGCAGTCCTCCTGTGTGTCTGAGATGCAGGAGAGTCAGGAATATCTGGGGACCAATACCAGTGATCACCAGAACAGTGAGTCCAGCCGGCCCGGCCTCACTCACCCTGGCAGGTCCAGACCCCAGGAGGTCTAGAGTGGCTGGCACATGGTTGGGCTGGATGGTGGAGACCCCGTCCTCCTGAAGCAGCCCTGGAGGAAGAGTAGTGGTGGGTGAGTCAAGGTTCTCCAGAGAAACAGAATCTCTGTGTATTGATCTAGCTAGAGAGGAGGTGGGGGAGGGGAAGGAGGGGGGAGAGAGAGTAGAGAGATTGAGATTGAGATTTGTTACCAGGAATTAGGTCACACAGTTATGGAGGCTGAGCCGTCCCAGTACCTGCAGTCGGCCAGCTGGACCCCCAGGAGAGCTGGTGTTTCAGCTGGAGCCTGAGGGCAGGAAGAGACCAATGTCCCAGCTCGAGGCCACCAGGCAGAGGGCACTTCCCCTTATTTGCAGGAGGATCAACCTTTTTGTTCTATTCAGGTTCTTCAACTGAAAGCACCCCCATCCGAGGACATCCTCACAGACACCCCCAGAATAATGCTGACCAATCACCTGGGCACCCCTGGGCCCATAAAATTAGCCATACCAAGCGGTGAGCACCGTTACACAGGAGTGCCATCCGGGCAGACAGGAATCCGGAAGGCAGGATGGCTTTATTGCTCACGGTGGCGGGTGGGGGGGTGGAATTTGTTCTCAGGCCTGAATTCATGCGGAGGCGCATTATGGGGAGAGCTGGCTCTGCCCTTTCACCGTGAAGGTGCCTCTGCCTGGGTGTTTTTCAGACAGAGCGGGGGGGGGGGGCAGTTTGCTAACCTTTTGTCACGTGCACTTGTGTGTGAGGCTCCACTGGGTGGGTTCCGTGCACTGTCTCATCCCACGCTGGTGAGAGGAAATGCCGGGAGCAGTAATTCTTGTCGCCTCTCACATCTGCAACTGGGGAAACGGAGGCTTAGAGGGGTCAGAATACTTGGCCAAGGTCACTTGGTGAGGTCGTGGTCCAGCCTGGCCTAGTGTTACTTCCACTCAGTGGGCGGTTTTTAGTGCCTACTGGGTTCCAGCACTGGGCCGGGCCCCAGGGACACAGAGCTGACTGGGACGTGCCCCCGCCCCACCCCTGACCCCTCTGCAGCTTCCTCTGCCTCCTCTGCTCCAAGCAGGATGAGCCCGTGACCCAGAGGACTCTGGACCACCGAGCTGCCTTGCAGCACAGAGGTACCCCCAGTGGCCCCCGCAAGCCCCACCACTCAGGCCTTGGCCTCAGCCTGGGTAAAGCTCTGAGCTGCCCACATCATGGGGCAGCCCCTTGGCCATTCGCGTCTAGACGCCTTGGGATGAGCACTTCCTGAAAGCCACTCTCCTCTTGGGATGCTGGCTTTTCCCCACTGATTCTGTTGCTTCCGTCAAAGGCTGCCTCAGATTTCAGGTTTAGGATCTGTGATGGTTAATTTTATGTGTCCGCTTGGCTGGGCCACAGTGCCTAGAGAGTTGGTCCAGTACCCATCTCAGATGTCACTGTGAAGGTGTTTTTTAGGTGAGATTAGTATTGAATCAATAGACTTTAAGTAAAGCGGATGACTCCCCCCAATGTGGGTGGGCCTCATCCAAACAGTTGAAAGTGTTACGAGACTGAGGTTCCCAGAGGAAGAAGCAATTCTGCCTCTAGACGGGCTTGGACTTGAGCTGCCGCACCAGCTCTTCCCTAGTCCTCCAGCCTGCTGGCGTGTCCTGCAGAATTTGGACTTGCTAACCTCCCCAATCGTGTGAGCGAATTCCTTGAAATAAATAAATTCTGTCTCTGTCTCTCTCTATTTATCCTCCTACTGCTTCTGTTTCTCTGGAGAAGCCTAACTAATACAAGTACAGGATCTCACCACAAAATCAGGTGGCCATGTAGTCTGGCTCACGAGGCACCCATTTTGTTCCCCTGAGTCTCTGCGCACAGACCTCTCTCCTGAATCCCAGACTCAGCGTCTCAGCTAGAAACTCAACATCTCACGTTGACATCACACCTCAGCCTAACTTTGTCCATACTTGAATGTTTTCCCCTCGCTCCCCAAGCCTTCTCTCCCTTCAGTGTTACGCGTATCAGTACAACGAACCCCCATTCACCTCTCCCTGACCCATGTCCTGTGTTCAGTCATCCAGTCCCGCTGGTACTGCTGGCAGAATCCCTTCTGCCACACCTGTCCACTTCTGTCTGCTTCCATCACCCTGGAGCCAACCTCACTGTCAGCTGGGCCACGGCAGCATCCCCTGCTCCCATATGCCCCCAGTTTTGAAACACAAACAGGATCCGGTCCCACCCTTTCGAGAGAGAACCCTCAGTTCAAATGTCATGTGCTCAAAGAAGCTTTTATTTCTTTTTTTTTTGTTTAATTTTTATTGCGGTATAGTTGGTTTACAATGTTTTGCTAGTTTCAGGTGTATAGCAAAGTGAATCAGTTAGACATAGACATATATACAATCTTTTTTAGGTTCTTTTCCCATCTAGGTCATTACGGAGTACTGAGCAGAGTTCCCTGTGCTCTACAGTAGGGCTTTATTAGTTAGCTAGTTTATATGCGGAAGTGTGTGTATATCAATCCCAGTCAAATGAGCTTTTCTGATCAGCTGTTATTCTGCACACAATCCTCCTGAAACTCCATGGTTCAGAGTGGCTACAGCATTTTATTATCTCTCAAGGGTTCTGTGGGTCTGGAGTTTGGGACGGCTGGGCTGGGCAGTTGTGGATCAGTGCCTCTCAAGTGCTTGCAGCCAGAGGGCTGGAAGGTCTGCCCTGGGCTTCCTCACAGCACCAGGCATATAACACTGCCTACAGGTGGTTGGAAGCCCCAAGGGCAAATACTTCACTGAGGAGGGTGGCAGCTGCCCCACCTTCGATAGCCCAACCTCAGAAATCACACAGTGCCATTTGTGATATACTCAAGTTGGTCAACACAGCCACAAACCCCACCTGGTCTCAGTGGGGGAAGACATAGACCCACCTGGCAGTGGAAGGAGGGTCACAGGACTGTAGACGTACTATTTAAAAAGTACCACACTGGCCATCCCTGATTCTGCACTATGGTACACTGAATGTGTCCTCAGAGCTCATGACACAATTTGTAATTTTATATTTACTTCTTGACTATTTGTGGAATGTTTAGACCTAAAGGTAGTCAAGGAAGGGCAGGACATATGTCTGTGTGTCAGTCTGCTCGGGCTGCCGTATCAGAGCATCGTAGACTGGGTGTCTTAAACAACAGACATTTATTTTCTCAGAGGTCTGGAGAGGGGGAAGTTCAAGGTCAAGGTTGTGGCAGGGTTTGGTTTCTGATGAAGGCTCTCATCTCAGCTTGCAGACAGCTGCCTTTTTGTTGTGCTCTCACATGGGGGAGAGAGATGGACAGAGAGACTCTTCTGTTATCTCCTATTACCAGGGCACTAATCCTGTCATAAGTGCCCCACTCTCATGACCTCATCTAATTACTTCTAAACCCTAATTCCTTCTTAAAGGCCCCATCTCCAGATACTGTCGCACTGGGAGTTAGGGCTTCAACGTGTGAGTTTTTGGGGGATGCAAACGTTCAGTCCATTACAGTCTATTTGGTTCGCCCTAATTCTCCCAGCGTTTGGAACATAGTGGAGATCAGTAAATACATGATTGAGTCAAAGTGTCATCGACTAAGGGATACTGTTGCTATAAAGATCACAACATGACAAACTAAGATAATTCTTTGTTTACTGGTTCTCTTGAACGCCGTTCATCACCACGCTCCTCCAATAATCTCTGTCACACAAGAGCAAAGCCAGAAAGGGCATTGCAGTAAATTAGCGATCAACTCTATCGCCAAGGTGGTCCAGCATTATGGAAAGTCCACAGTGCCTCAGGCCACCTGCGGCCCATCTTCCTGAGGACACGGGGTAGTTAACCCGGTAGAAAATCCATTTCAGTTGGCAAGGGGGAAGTTGGAGTGACCGTGTTTATAGTTAATTTCCAGAGGATGTTGCCAAACACCCCCCTGGAAGGGCACTCTCCACCCACCTGGCTCTCTGGATATTATGTTATTCACAATACACGAGCTGGCACGTAAATCCGCCGACTCTGTCTCGAGGAGGGCGTGTGCGTCATCCTGCCTTGCCTGGGCAAACAGGCATCGCCGAGCGGAGCGCACGTCGCCGTGGCAATGGCGCTGGACGGGGTATGATAATGAACACTCCCTCACCCCTGTCATTTCCTGCCTGTAATGGGAAAGAGGGAGACTGAATAACCTTTCACAGAAATCAGCTGGGCTCAGAGAAACCCTGACTTGCTGCGAACTCTTTGAAGTGACAGAGTGGTACTGACGGCTAGAGAGAAACCAGAACTCCCCAGGGCCCGCGTTTTCCCCATCCCAGGCTGTGGCATTGCCGTTGCCTCCTGACTCCGCTGTTGATTATGTTGTTTATCAGAGCAGGGAAACATCCGGAAGCCAGGTGGGCCGAGAATGTCATCCACGCTCACTCCAGTGGAGACGCTGGGGGAGACGGTCTGATCCTCGGGCTGGTCATGGTGGCACGATCGCATCACACGCTGGTGCTCTCGAGGGGGAGCTGGACTCCGGGACCAGATCCCTGGTTCGGGTCCCACCTCTGCCCCCTGGTGACAGCACGACCCTCAGTGGGACATTCAACCTCTCTTTGCTTCAGCCCCTGAACTGCAAATTGAGAATTGCTCACTGGGAGGGTTCGAGTTAATATGTGTAAAAGTATGTTGCAGGGTATTTAGCACATAAGGATGGTATTAATGTTCGCTATTTTCATTATTCTCATTATGGCAAAAGCACAGATTACTTGGGCAGATTGGGAGAGTGGTCCGGAATGGGGTTCAGCAGGAAGGGGGTCCATCCGTGAGCAACAGATGCAAAACCTTACTGGCCTTTAACGTGGGTTTTGGCTTTTCAGGGCTGAAAAGGAAAGGAATAAAGCGGACAGGTACGCGCTGGATCGCCAGGAGAAGGCGTACTGGCTGGTGCACCGATGCCCCGTGAGTGCCACATCCCCCCTGGTTTCACCCGTCTCTTCCTGCGCCCGACCACTCCCAACCTTGCTCCCCATCCCCCTTTTGTGGCTCATCTCTGCCTGGAGCTAGATTTGAATCTGCAGGAGCTGTTGCTCGCTGTTGAGTAACATCCACGGGCCTCTGGCTGCAAGAGGAAATTCACCGTCTGGATGGAGTCCGCCCGTGGCCCATCCGTTGCTGTTAGGACTGAGTGCATTTCCATAGCGGAGGGACTTGAATGAGTCTGCCTCGTGTGAGGACTAGGACTCGATGCCTTAGAAGAGGAATGTAAGAAGGAAAAGGTAGGACACAGGCTCCACGGCAGGAAAAATCACACGTGTAGGGAACCGGAAGCCGGCCTCGCCACGGCCGTGCCATGTGTCTCTTGCTGCTGTCCTTTTCCTCTCTGGATCCGGTCCCCGGCAGAGATGGGGGCCGGGGATAAATGTGTGCTCAGCCTCATGGCTTAGAACACGTGGCGTCTCTGGCTTTGGGACGTTAGGTGGCCTAGAGGCACAAGCTGGACATACGAGATGCGACTTGTAGCAGCTCACTACTTGGGAGGGAAGCCGCATGCCCAGCGCGGAGAAGCAGGCTGTAACCGCCACCCACCGCGGGGGCCTCTGCCGCCTCGGTTCCCTCCCGCGTCAGACCCGTGTGCTGCCTGCCGGGCACAGGAGGTGGGAGAAGCGGAAGGAATTCTGCGAAGTGGAGCATTCGCGGAACACACGTTCCTCGTCTTCCTCCTTTAGTTTTCTTGCCTGACCGGGAACCAAGTTCTCAGAACCGGAGAGCGAACTGCATCCCTCACGGGGCCAAAGCTTCTGGAGTTTTGAACTTGGAGCCCATCAGACTTGGGCCGTTTTGCTACTTTTCTTTCTGCATCCAAGACAGGCAGCCCGTAAGGTGTTCCAGCTGCGAGGACTTTGGTTCCGATGCCTTGTTGCCGAGGTTAAGGCCCTGGGGTTGAGGCGTGTTTGGTTTTGCTTTGTTTCAGGGCACCTCCTCCAGTTAGACCACTTGGCCGATGCCCGACCCAGGTCCCTGGGGGCCTGAGCGGAAGGCTGCTTGACCGAGCACAGGGTCCTGGAGGTCAGAGCCCACACCCGCCGTCCCGCGGGTAGCGCAGGGGTGAGATCTTTGTGTGAGAGGGAGGCAGGCCGTGCTCAGCCCATATTGTCATCTGATCCTGAAGCCTGGGGGGACCCTTGGTGAGGAGAATGGCGAATGGTGGATAAGCTCTCAGGTGGTAAGAGGCGCTGGTGCCCCATGGCACCCGTGACCGAGGCGGTCCTGCTCCTTGTAGGGTGGAAAACGGCCTCTGTATCCCGTGTGGAGACTCCGTGCTGTGGGACGCCCGTGTGCCTGCATCCCTTGCCAGGTGACAGAGTCTGACTGTGCACGCGAGCTGCCCTGGGACCCTCTCCTCCCCTCTGTCCCTGCAGCCAGGAGGTCTACAGGGACACGACGAGAAGCAGCTTATCCACGTTGTTCCCAGGCCTCCTGGGGCAGCTCTCGGCCCCGACGCCGGGCAGGTGGCCGAATGGCTCTTCCCTGTGTGATACAGAAGCACAGACGTTCAGCAGTGTGTCCCTGACAGTGGCTTCTACCACCACCTCCCTCACGGTCCCCACTTCCTCCACCTCCATCACCTGCGTTGTCACGGTCACCGTCACCGCAGACCTGAGTGGAGAACTTGCAGTGCCCCTGGCTGTGCGCCAAGCATCGTTCTGCACGCGCTTTCTCGTTCCATCTCTGCGGCCCTACCTGAGAGGCTACGTGATTAGTCCCGTTTTGCTGGTGAGGAAGCAGAGGCCCAGGGCTGCTGCTGACTTGCCAGTGACAGCCAGTGAGCGAGCATCGGGGGACCTGGACCCACAGACTGCAGAGCCTTCCCTCCTGGTCTCCATGCTCCTTTGCCTCCGGTGACAGTGTCACGTGATGTTGTTGTGCGTTTAAGGCCTTTTGTCACCTCCTTGGTCACTAGAGCATCACGTGGTTGCTGCCACTCTCACGCACATGGTGCTGGGTTCAGAGGTGCCTGTCCCTCACTGGCGGCACTGGGGGGGCCACGCGCAGAAGGAAGCCTGCTGTGCTTGGAGCAGACATGAAGCTCCCCGGACACAAAACCTCTCTCCCCGCCCCGGCCCTCTCACTGCCGATCCCCTCGCCCAAAACTGGACCAGGAGTCGGGGCCGGGGCCGGGTGGCCCTGGCTCCTTCTCTCCCTGACTTTCGTAAAGCCTTCAAGCCTCTCAGTGGCCCAAGAGCGTCAGGATGACGGATGCGTCCCGTTTGAAGAGCATCCGGTTTGAAGTCTGTCTCGGCTGGAAACTGAGCAATCTGACTGACAACGCAGCAGCCCAGGCGCTTGGGGGCCGTCAGACCGTCTCCAGGGACCCCAGACACACTGTCAGCTGGGTGGGAAGGAGCCAGCCGGGCATACAAAGCATTTGGCTGGGTGGGGTGAGTGTAGCCAGCTGCTGTACTTCCTGAGCACATTCATCCCCGTTCGTTTGTCTGTCCCTGGATCCGCGAAACCTTCCCGGGGCCCTGAGTCTGCACCAGCCGGGGAGCCGGGCGCCGGGCGTGATGTAACAGCCGAAGGCCGCTGAGCACCTGCCACGCACCTGGGTTAAGCCCTGGGCCTGGCTGATCCCAGGGACCTGACGGAAATGCTGTGCCATAGGGGTGTCATTGCCCCGTCGTTCAGGTGGGGAGATCGAGCCTCAGGAAGCCGCAGTGGCCTGGGCAGCGCTGGGACGTGAGCACACCTCTGTCTGACATGCTGCCATGGGAGGTGCGCCCACGGGTGGCCCTCTCTCAGCTCAGGCAGCTCCAAGTGCAAACTGCTGACACTGGAGTGCCATGTTCCTCTCACACTTTTCCCCAGCGGAACAGGGTACAGATCTGGGCACGATGCAAACGAAGGTTCATTGTGTAAACAGACAGAAGGAGAAACGGTTCCTTTAGAAAAGTCATCTCGGGGCCTCCCGTGCATTGTTGCTGTGCCATCTGTGGCATCTGTGTCTCCCCAGGATACAGGCCGCTGACACATGGACCATGGGTACAAGTAGGAGGTGGTGTGGGGACAGAGGCGGCCTGTGGCACATGTGCTCTAAGTCAGGCGGTTGCTGGTCTGAGCGTCGAGCTAAACGGCCTTTGTTTCAACTACAAGTGCAGACACTCACCCGAGAGGATGTCTGTCCTCCACTTCCTGCTGAGGGTGGACTGAATGTCCAGAGAGGGCAAAGTAAATTAAGTTATAGCTCCATGACTGAACACTGTGACACTATGAAAATAATATTTTCAAAGGCCATTAATGAACCTAGGAAAGGGGTCTGACATACAACGTTTTACCATTAAAACAGGATGGGAGAGTCCATCAACTCTGATCCAGATTAAGAAAAAAAGCCCCAAACATCCGTTCTGTGAATTTCCACCCTGTGCCAGGGGCCTAGGAGGCAAAGGGGGTCTTTCCACTGGGAGCCGAGACAGACGTGGCCCTCAGGGAGCTTACAGTCTGGTGGAGGGGCTGAGACTGGAACACACAGATGAATGTGCCCTGCACGGATGCGGGGACAGCTGTGAGGGCCGGGGTCCTGCTTCAGACCAGGGGTCTGGGGCCAGCTGTCCGCGGAAGTAACGTTCACGCCAAGATCAGGCTCCTCCAACCCTTCCCTCGAATTCTGTGTCTCCCTGCGTCAACCTCATCTCTCTCTCTGTCCCCTGTTTTGTTTTGCTTTTAAAACTATCTGGTGTTTTATTTGTTCTTTGTTTTCTGTGCCGCGCACCAAAAAGGTCCAAACTGTACGTCAGGGGAGAGAGCAATGGTGAGAAGAGGAGAGAACAAGACAAGGGACGGGAGGGATGCGGTGCAGCCACGTGTCACCGGGACGTGGCACCAGCGCCCACCCCGGCCCTGCTCCGGATGCCGGCTCTGGGACTGTCCCCTCCTCGTGGGCAGCCCTTGGGGGTACGAGGGTCCTTTCCTAACCTGAGTTAAGGAGCCGTTAGCAAATTGTCTCTTCGGCTTTTGCGTCAGGGATGTTCTCGGGCACCACGCCTTGGCGTTCATACTTCCTCCCGCTGGAGGGGGTGGTGGTGGGCTTGGCGTCTCTGGGCAGGCGGGGCTTCCTGCACTTGGCCCGGGCTGCACGCGGCTGCACGGCTTCCTGTCTGCTGACAGCCCACCGCCAGGCCACCATGGCCCTTGTGTCCTGTGCGCTGACGGTCAGCTCTGCGGTATCTGCGTTCCAGCTGCCTCTTGCATCCCAGAAACTGTGTCAGCGGTGGCTCTGGTGACTGTTGTGGAGAACAGAGACCCCCATGCTACCTGGTGAATGAGTGGATGAATGAATGAGTGCGTGAGTGAATGAGTGAGTGAGTGGCTGAATGAATGCATGCATGAATGAATGAGTGAATGATGAATGAGTGAGTACATGAGTGAATGAATGAGTGGATAAGGGAAGGAGTGAATGAATGAATGAGTGCGTGAGTGAATGAATGAGTGGATAAGGGAAGGAGTGAATGAATGAATGAGTGCGTGAGCGAATGCAGCCTGGGAGTCTCCCAAAACAGCAGCAGGAGAAAGGCAGCCCCGTGGAGAGTTCTGAAGGCAGGGCCCCGGGGTGGGACCGCAGCTCGATGGGAGCAGCTGAGGGGTGGGGAGGGCCGGTGGGGACCGGCCGCAGAACAAGGCCCGCGGGCGGCTCCAGCTCAGGGTCCTGCGCCGGTTGCACAGGTGCACCGTGGAGCAGCTGAATTCACATCAGAGTGTGGATCAAGTTCAGAGCCAAGAGTTGGAGAAGGGGTCCAAGACACGAGCAGACGACTGCACGGAAGCCCCTGAGGCTGGAGGGCCTGCTGGGGGGCAGGGGCCCCGAGGGGGGCAGCGTGTGTGTGTGCGTGTATGTGTGCGTGTGGCTGTGCCGGTACGTACGTGTGTGAGCCGCAGATGTGAGCACGTGTGGCTGCGTTCGGGTGTGAGTGCATACCTGTGAGAGTGCGAAAGAGTGATGATGTGAGCTTTGAGTGGGCGGGGGTGTGTGCACGTGAGCGAGTCCTTGAGCGCGAGAGTGTGTACATGTGAGTAGTGTGGGAGTATGCGAGTGTGTGTGTGCGATGTCTGTCTTCCGTCACCCTGGGGGGATTTCTTTGTACCAGACGGGTGCCCGCACCAAACAGAGGAGGTGGAAGACTCGAATCGCTGGCCTCGAGGGGCTGAGAGACCGAGCAGGGCTGCCTGGGGAGGCCTGATGGAGACAGGCAGACACTGAGGCCAGCTTTGGGCCAGGTGTTCACACACGTGCCCTTACGATGCACACAGCCTTTGCTTGGTAACAGTGACGCTCTGCTGACAGCTTCATACTCCATCGTGTGCTAAATCCTCACAAGAACCTGACAGGCAGGAGGGATCGTCTGCAGTTCCCAGGGGTGGGAAGGGCAGAGAGGAGAAGTAGTTTCCAAGATCTTCCTCACAGCTGGGAAGTGGCAGAACCGGGATTGGAACCTCTGGGTGCCTGACGGAAGCCTGGACTCTCCAACACAATGAACTGTAGAGCGGGAAGGGAGTCGGGAGTCCCACGTGCCAATCCCAGTGAACCCTGATTGAGTTTGCAGGTTGTTTATCCATCTGTGCACCCACCCTCTCATTCATCCATCCACCTACCCACCCCTCATCCATCCATCCAACCATCACTTATCCATCCATCCATCCGTCCACCTACCCACCCCTCATCCATCCATCCATCCATCCATCCATCACTTATCCATCCATCCATCCGTCCACCTACCCGCCCCTCATCCATCCATCCATCCATCCATCTGTCCACCTACCCACCCTCCATCCATCCATCCATCCATCCATCACTTATCCATTCATCCATCCGTCCACCTACCCACCCTCCATCCATCCATCACTTATCCATCCATCCATCCATCCACCCATCCATCTATCCATCCATCCATCACTTATCCATCCATCCATCCGTCCACCTACCCACCCTCCCTCCCTCCATCCCTCTCTCCATCCCTCTGTTTTAGGTTCTGGGGACGCTGTGGTGGTGGAATAGCCCCATGAAACTCACCAGCTCGCCTGGAGAACCGTGCACACCCCTGTAGCCCCCCATAGGCTGGGCCACGCCCCTCAGCTTGGCCTCACGATTGGCAGCTTGACCAAGGTCCAGAGTTAATCAGAAACCGGAGACTCTCCCAGCAGCGGTTCTTATGTCGTTTTTCTTTTTGTTTCCCCACTCAGCCGGGGATGAATGACGTGCTGGACTATGGCCTGGACCGAGTGACCGATCCAAGTGAAGTTCAGGTAAAACAGGTAGGTCTCTGCTGCATACGCTGGGCGGGGCCTGGGTCAGGGCCTCAGGCTGGGAAGGTGTCCACATGTCTGTTGTCTGTTTGTGTCTGTGGGGCACTGGTACCTCCCCTTTGAGACTGCCAAAGAGGGGAGGCCTATGGGCTGTGTGGTATCAGAGCAGGGAGGCCATGGCAGGGCTTCTAGTCAAGAGAGACTGGAGTCGGCAGCGTGCAGGTCAGAGCCAATGGGATCTAGATGGCTGGTTTTCAGACTTTTCTGAGTCACTTCCCCCTTTGAAAACCTGATGAAAGTTATGAGCCCATTTCACCCAGGGGTGTGCAGACAGGCATTTCAAACACAATTTCTGCCAGTCCCCCCTCCCCCGCCCCGAAGTCTATAGGCCCCAGGCTCACAACCCTTGAATCAACTTTGGGTTTAAACCTTAATCCGTGTGACAGGACCTGGACTGTCCCACTTTCTTTTGCATCTCGTTGGGTGGGATCTTTGCAAAGATCCTCCTGTGCTTTTTATTTTAAAAGGACCCTTTCCCCCCAGCAGGCCACCATTGATGATGGATGGCTGATTTCCTAAGATGGGTTTTTATTTAAAGAAAGATGGTGCAGAAGCTGCTGGAAGAGTGGGCATCCTGGTTAGGGTTTCCCGACCGTAGCACTGTTACTTGGGGCCAGGCCGTGCTCTGGGGGCTGTCCTGTGCATTGTGGAGTGTTCAGCAGCATCCCTGGCCTGAACCCCCTGGATGCCAGTAGCTCCGAGCCTTTCCCTGCCTGCCCCTCAGTCCCAACTATCAAAACTGTCTCCAGACTTTGTCCGGTGCCCCCCGGCGGGGCTGAGAACCACAGATGCCAGTAAACCAGCCTAAGCCCACGTAAACTGGCGGTAGGTGGTTTCCTTGCTTTCTGTCTACCGTTGTCTTTGGGCAGCAAGGGGTCAGGGGCCTTGTTAGCCTAGTGTGTCATCCGTGAGCCAGTGCCTAAAGCCCTGGGCGGGAGCCGGGGGGGTGAGCCCGGAAAGGAGGAGGAAGGACGTCGAGGGGCAAGAGGAGGGCACAGGCCAAAGCTGGCCAGGAGGCTCTGACTCGTGTGTGCTGCCCACCGGGACCTGGAACTCAGGATGGCTTTAGGGACCCCCCCAGTGTGTGGGCCGGAGGCCCCGGTTTCGGCTGGAGTCCACCTGGAGGGGACGTCGCGTCCCCAGAGGACATCCCCCGGGGCCGTTGCTGGGACCCTCATCTGTAATTCAGAGTCACCCTTCCTTTGATGCACGCTTGGCACCGTCAGCCTTCAGCGGCCTTTCCTACGTTCCTCTCATCAGATAACAGATCATTGCCAGGGCCTTGTCAGGCTCGGTTACCAAGGAAACAGAGTCATCAAGGAAAATACTGAACCCGGCTGGAAGATTTGCAGTTATTATGAATCAGGCAGCTGTGGAAACCTCTGTGGTGTGGCGGAGGGGGAAGGCCCATCGCTCGCTCGGACCAGGCGCTGCTCTGTGTGTGTGTGTATGTGTATCTGTGTGTATATGTGTGTGTGTCTCTGTGTGTGTCTGTGTGTCTATGTGTGTGCGTGCGTATGTGTGTATATGTATGTGTCTGTGTACGTGTTTGTATGTGTCTCTGTATGTGTATTTGTGTGTGTATGTATATGTCTGTGTGTGCATTTGTGTGTGTATGTATGTGTGTGTATGTGTGTATGTGTCTGTGTGTCTGTGTGTGTGTGTCTGTGTGTGCACGTCTGTGTGTGTACGGATGTATATGTGTATGCGTATGTGTACGTGTGTGTGTCTATGTGTGTCTGTGTTTGTGTGTGCCTGTGTGTGTGTGTGTGTGTGCGCGCGTCTGTGTGTGTACGGATGTATATGTGTATGCGTCTGTGTACATGTGTGTGTCTGTGTGTGCGTGTCTGTGTGTGTACGTATGTGTATGTGTCTGTGTACGTGTGTGTGTGCGTCTGTGTGTGTATGTATGTATGTGTATGTATATGCGTCTGTGTGTGTGCGTCTGTGTGTGTGTGCGTTGTATGCATGTGTGTGTGCGTGTGCGTCTGTGTGTGTCTGTGCGTTGTATGCATGTGTGTGTGTGCGCCTGTGCACGTGTGCGTGGGGCGGGATCTCTAGCTTCAGCCCTGGCAGGACAGCGCAGACGCTGAGTGAGCTGCTTCCTCTCGGGCACTATCTGGGGTGCCTTCCCAGGAGGGCGGCCAGGCCCCGCCACTGAGGAAGTGTATCCAGGCTCCCTGGCAGGCAGGCTCGGGGCCGAGATGCTCTCAGCCCGGAGTCCGCGCAGGGGCGGGGGGTGAGGCTGCGGCCGTGGCGCTGTGTGGCCGGGGCGCTGTCACTGCCGTTTACTCTCTGCCTTCTGTGTCTCTCTCCCACCAGCTCTCTTTCTCCTGTCTGCACTCTGGCTGCCCTGGTGCATTAAGAAGAACAAAGAACCGTAATCCTCGTGCGCACGGGGACCCTCCGTCCTCCCCTTGGCCAGCGCGGGTCACAGCCAGCTGTTAGGGGCTGGGCTTTACCTGTGTGACCTTCCCCACAGTGGGACCCAGTGTCCCCTGTTTATCTGGCCTGAGAGGAGAGGGTCCAGAGGACGGGGCGTGTGTCCAGGAGGTCTTGGGGGTGCCGAGGTGTCGGACTGCTGCCTCGTTCAGAGAAGATCTCTCGGTGCCGGTTTGAAGAGATGACCCATTTCCGAGAATTCGTAAATTCTTGAAAAGATCTCTTTTTCCCTTAAACAGGGGCAAATGATCCAAGAGCCATAAACACCATCGAGCACAGGAAGGAGGCTGTGGGGTTGGCAGGTGTCCACGACCCTGGGTGACCCACTTCCTCAGGCTGATGGCCGCTGGCCGCTGGGGCACCCAGCCCTGGGAGGAGCCCGCCAGAGCCAGGGTGACACATAGGGAGCGTGTCCTCTCTCAGTCCTGATGCCTGGAGGTGGGGGGCCACCTTCCCGTTATCTCAGAGGATTTGGCCCTGCAGGGAGGGGCTGAGTGGTGGCTGGGCCCCAGCCTGCTGTGGGCAGCAGTGCCCGGGGCCGGCCCTCCCTCCCCGACCCCGACAGGGTCACCAGGGTCGTATTGTGACGAGGGCCAGTGCCTTGTGCTCGAGGGAGCTCTGACACCAGAGTGGCTACAGCTCCGCCACCCCCTGGAGCTGTGACCTTGGACAAGCTCTTGAGCTCAAGGTCTCAGTTTCCTCATCTATAAAATGGGAATAAGAGTAGTTCCTTCTTCAGGGGCCTCAGCGAGGTCATTTATGTGAAGTGTCTAGAACGGGATCCGACGTGTACACTGCAGCGTTCACTGTCATTACAACTGTCTCCCTGCTGCCAGAGAGCGTTTATGGGGTCTGGAGGCCCTCGACCCTGCTTGGGGACTGTCCCTCGCCAGTTGCCTTCTTGTCCTCGTCTCTTCTCATCCTTCTGCCCTGGCTGGGGTGGGGGGGCACCAGCGTCCACACCCCTGCCTGGTGCCTCACTGTTTACGCTGGCGGCCACACCGGCCTTTGGGCGAAGGACAGAAGTGTGGCTGCCCCGTATTAAGTCCTGTGCACTGCAGAGCCCCCGCCTGGAGCCCTCCGTGAGCAATAGCCCCTCCCGCCATGTATTCCCCCAGCTGGGGAAAACGGCTGTCTTCCTGGGGCTCCCGCGTGACCGGTGGTAGCAGGGGGAGGGCTGGGGCTTGCCCACAGCTCCCTGTGTGCCGGCCACGGGGCCGGCCGCTTCACCCCCGGTCGGGGCTCTGTGCAGATTCAGCAGCTCACGAGGTAGAAGCTTTAGCATCTCTGCTCCACAGTTGAGACAGGCCGAGGGACCAGGCAACGCATCCGAGTCACACGTCTCAGAGACGGTGAAGCTGGGGTTTGCGCCCCAGTGGACGGGCCCCTGAGCCCACTCCGTGTCCTGCTGACGGGCCCTGATGTCCATCACGCAGCTTCTAGAAGCTTTGCTGGATTTTATTACCTTCTCCCAGCAGCTTGGGAAGTGAGGCTTATATAAGTTCCCTTTTTCAGAAGACAAAACGGAAACAGACAGATTGAGCCGTTTGCCCAGGCTGAGCCAGCCAGGGGGACGTTTAGGTCCTCCGGGTACCACCTCTGCTCCCCGACCGCACCCCTCGGTCCTGCACCCAGGGCCCCTTTCAGGAGCAGACGGCCTGTGCTCGGGCCCCCAGCTCCACGCTCAGCAGCCCTGCACCTGCCTTGATGTTCTGCTGGCTTAGAATTCTTACTACTTTTTCGGACCAGGGGCTGGGCGCTTTCATCTTGCCTTGGGCCCTAGAAGCTGTGTGGTCATCCCCCCCGGGCCTGATCGGGAAGGACATGGCAGGACAGACCTCGTTCGGAGGCTCACAGCCTCGGATTCTCGGCTCCTTGGCCGGCCGGCTGCCCCCATCTCTTTCCTGTGTCTGCTTTGTGTTAACGGCCTCCGTTCCCGGATTTCCTGGTTTCTGGCCTTTGACCCGTTCTCTCCTCTCCAGGCCTGTGTTTCCCGGTTCCCTGTGGTTCTCCCCGCCTTGCGTTTCACTCCATGGCTTGCTGGGCTCTCAGCCCTGTTTGCACAGATTCCCGCCTGACTGCCTGACCCCTGTCTGGGGCTCCCGTGCCGCCTCTGTCCACTGTCACCCCAGGGTCTCCCAGGGCACGGCCTTGAGCCCTCCTGCCCTGTGACAGTCGTCTGCAGCCTGCATCTGGGTTTCAGGGCCGGCAAGAGCTGTGTAAACAAGATCTGGATGCGTCCCTATTTGGGCAACTCTGCGAGTGAAAAGTCCGAAGTCAGAACCCCGAGAATGCAGAGTATTTGACAGTCCCTTAGGCGAGTGTTCCTGTTGTAGCGACACGTGTCACTGGGATGAAGGATAAAGAAGTGAGTTCATCCCAGGTGGACCAGCTGCCGAGAAAGCCGGGTTTGTGCGTGCCTTCCACGGTGCGACAAATGTTTATTTCTTCTTTTACCATGAGGTGGCTTTCTTTGAATTGCTTAGAAGTGTGTGTGTGTGTATTTTTTTTTTTTTTTTTTTTCGGTGGGGCCGGCCGCTCTCTTTTTTGTCCCCCCCCTCCTCGAGGGGAGGCTCCGGGTGCACAGGCTCAGCGGCCATGGCTCACGGGCCCAGCCGCTCCGCGGCATGTGGGATCTTCCCGGACTGGGGCACGAACCCGTGTCCTCTGCATCGGCAGGCGGACTCTCAACCACTGCGCCACCAGGGAAGCCAGTGTAGTTTTTAATAACTGCACTTTAATGTTTCTTATGGCCTTTGGCTAGGTAATAATCATATTGAAAGTAGGTTGTGAGGTTTAGCAAGTAAGATACAGGATGCCCAGTTAAATTTAAATTTCACATAAGCAGCGAATAACTTGTTGGCATGAATATGTCCCCAGTATTGCCTGGGTATCCTGTATTTTATCTCGTAACTGGGGCTAATGCCATACCCTGAATCTTCTCAGCAGCCAGGGTACGTTGAGTCCCCACCTTATGCCAGTCACTTAAGGATTCTGTCATTTAATCCCCCCTTTTCTCTTCCCTTTTACGAATGAGAAAACAGAGGCTTTGAGATGCCAAATAAGTCATCCAAAGTCGATTAGTGACAGAACAGGGATTTTGACCTTTCTGACCCCAAAGTCTATACTCTTTCTTATAACGACTCCCACCCCATCAAATTCTCTCTCCGTCTTTCAGAAAAGTCCCGAACCCTCTCCCTCACTTCCCAGATACACATGCACTCTTAAAAGCACAGAGATACCCTATATGTCAATCCACAGGAGGCAGATCCTCTGTACAGCTTTTTTTTTCTTTTTAGTATTTATTTATTTATTTGGTTGCACTGGGTCTTTAGTTGCAGCAGGTGGGCTCCTTAGTCATGGCTCGCGGGCTCCTTAGTTGTAGCATGCGAACTCTTAGTTGAGGCATGCATGTGGGATCTAGTTCCCTGACCAGGGATCGAACCCAGGCCCCCTTCATTGGGAGTGTGGAGTCTTAACCACCGCACTACCAGGGAAGACCCTGGACGGCTGTTTTTAGAAATGCTGAAATCCACACGGACAATCCAGGGTGGAGGTGGGCAAACTCTTAGACTCAATCAAATCCACTGCAGTCTGATTCCCAGGAGATAGCTGGTAATTTGGGGACCGAGAAAACCCACAGCAAACCACACCTTCGACACAGAGCCCTAAAAGGACAGCAAAGTCAAGAAGGGAATTAAAATATAAAAATTTTAAAACCCTGAAGCTTGAGATAATGACCCCAGAAATAAAGGTATTAAGCCGAAGTCAGACCACGCTAAGTAGACTAGAAATGGGTGTGCTGGTGACCGGTTTGCAAGGACAGCTCCCCGGGGAGCCCGGAGACCATCGGACAGGCTGAGAGTCTGCCTGTCTTGTCTGTGTTCGTCCACGCAGGGTCCCCGAGGCCAGAGGCCAGTGGCCCACAGGACAGCTCATCCTGGGGCCTGGGCGCTTCAAAGGAGAGTGTTTATGGTGGTGCCTGCTTTATAGTACAGGTGCCATCTTTATACCAGTGCTCGTGCTTCTGGACTCCAGCTTCATGGAAGTATCATTGGCGCATAACATATGTAGGTTTCAGGTGTACAGTGTGTGATTGGATGCATGTAGATATTGCAGGATGATTACCGCCAATAAGGTGAGGTAACACCTCCATCCCCTGACGTAATTGCGATTTTTGTGGTGATAACAGCTAAGCTCTCCTTTCTGGCCAACTCACAAGTATCGTTAATTATAGTCACCGTGCTGTGCTTTAGGTCCCCAGATCTTAGTTCCCTTCTAGCTGGGAGTGTGTTTTACCATCACTAGTGTTAATTACTAGTGTCTTCTGTGTGTGTGTGTCCTCTTGTGATTGGGGCCCTAGCGCTCTTTTTTGTTTTAATTTTAAACTAAATGGCCGGACAGAGAAGACATTTCATTCGGCGGTATCCTCAGCTTCAGGGCAAGGAGGAAGGCATTGGTGAAGAGAGCAGATCATTTTCTGTCTTTCCTGGATCACTCCTCGGCTTTGCAAAGGGCAGATCTGGGTTTGAATCCTGCCTCAGCCAGTTACTGACCAGGAGATGTCAGGGCCTTGGTTTCCTCAGCTGAAAATCAGAAAAATAAAACCTTCCTCCCCAAACTCTGTAAGGGCTCAGAGAGGTGTAACTTGCTTTGTACTATTGCTTGGTGGTTATTGTTACACAAAAGTCCAGCTTCCCTACTCTGACCCCAGGGTTCTTTTCTACCTGAAACATGTGTCTTCTAAAACAGCCCTATGTTAGGGCTGTTAGAGAATTGGAACAGATAATCAGTGTGATTGCCAAAATATTTGGGGAGTGTTCTCAGTTTTTTAAGTGGAAAAATATTCTGTTAACCTTAAAATACATCCCCATTTTTCTAGGCCTCCAAGCACACTGCAGTCATCATTTGTTTGGCATTTAATGAGCATCTACTCTGTACCATACATCATGCTCAGCAAGATAAACATGGTCTTCCTGCTCTTCATGGTGCTTAATGGGTCATACATAGATTAAACAAAGAGTCACACAAACAAATATCTAATTATACTTGTGATCAGCGCTATGAAGAAGGAAGTTTGGGAAGGGGTGGCAGATTAGAGAGGCCTACCTGAGCATTACCTTTCTGAGTTAACTCTCCCTACCCCACCCAGGAAGAAGGATTTCCTGCGAAAAGCAAGCACATAAAAACAATCTAACGATGCAAAATGAAACCCAGCGTGGATTAGAAAGGAGAGACTTGCGTATGACGTTCCGGATCAGACCTTCCTTCATTCCTCGTTAATGGGCTCTGGTCCAGTACTTATTTTACTAACTGGCTAAGGGAGATCGTGTCCTCCTTGGACTTCTGACTCTATTTCAAGCGCAAACCTGGCTGCACTCAGCAACGTGGGTTTTAGCAGCCAGCAATTAGATGCTCAGCTTGAAGTGTAAGAGTCAGCACCAGGCGGCCCCTGGACCAGACCTAGGAAAGCTGAATTGGCATCACCCACCATGCCCAGCCTCCAAGATTTGCATGGGGCAGACAAGTGGTACCAGGGAAGCATGTCAGATGGTAGGAGAGTTTAGTAGGAGACAGGTCTGAATGGTTTCCAGGAGCTTCCAAGACCCTAAACATGGCACCCTTCTCGGAGCCATCCTTCCTCGGCTATGACTCTAAAAGTCCAGAGAGGGGACGCGAACTTGCTTCAGCGGCTTCAGAGAGGATAGGGCCCGGTGTGAGCTCTTCCATGTTACAGCTCAGCTCTTGGACTCAGCTTGCAGTGGAGGCTTCTCTTGAGTCTTTTAATTGTGTGCTTTGTTTTTGACAGCGTGGCTTTCCCCCCGCAACATATGGTATTGGTCAAGTCGCTAGTTTCCCCCCCCCCCCGCCCCCCGTTCCATTTCAGACGTTCTGTAGGCGCTACGCTGGGTTGGGAGCAATCCCGAGCTTAGTCTTGAATTCATCTTGGCTTTTCGGAGAATAGGATAAAGTTACAGTGGTAAAGCATCCCCTTCCCTCAGCAAACCTCTTAGCTGGTCTTATTCTCTAGAAGTTGTGTAGAATAGGGTGGAAGGGCTGGTGATGGGGAAATTCTATCCTTTAAGTCAAAAGAGACGGGCAGTTTTCTCTTGGGGAAGGGTTTTTGTTTTTCAAATGGGTAATTGGACTGTAATGATTTCATGACATCTGTTTAATGGTTTTTGCTTCTTTGTTTTACAGAAACAAACAGTGGTTTCTGTCAGAAAAGAGGTAATTAGTCTCCCAGTTTCAAGGGAATCTGATTTTTAATCCTCTTACAAATCATATGTACTTTGGCTTCATGGTCTGCACTCAGTGATGAAATGAAAACCATGTGTAACGTTCAAACAGCTGTTTCCCAATTAACGGATGGCACAGAAGCCAAAGCATCTCATGTAAGATCTGGCTGGGGCTGACGCTGAGGCTCACGGTGCGAAATGCCCTCCGAAGGCACAGAACTGGGGGGCGTGGAGCGGATGCATCCACCCTGCTCCCTGCTGCTACAGTTACAGGGCGGCTCAGCATCTGTCCAGGGTGACAAGCGACCTGTGTTGGCAAATCTTGTATCCGGGGTGCAAGACAGAGAGCCCTGGGAAGTGTTGGCCGTGAGGTTAGTTAGATCTGCTTCTGTGAGTCAGAGGCATTTGGGGGAAAAGCTAAGCTTCTGTGTCTATCCCATGTCTCACTTCAACGCACCTTAGAGCTTTTTTTTTCCCAGTTGGTGCCTTTTCCGAGACTAGCACACGATGAGGCGAGTGAAGGAGGCTCCTTATTTGGAGTTGGGGGCCACCCATCTGCTGCAGACCTGAGCCCTGCTGGTCCTGGGGTGGCCGGCTTGAGGGAACGGAATGGGGTGCTTTGATGGGGACATGGCTTCTGGTTTGGAGCCATACGTATGTGTCGGCATTGGCGACACCCCCGTGGGGCAGTTGGACATCTAACAACTGTTTCTCTTCCAGATCATGTATTACCGACAGGCCTTAATGAGGTCCACGGTGAAGTCTTCCGTGTCCCTTGGCGGGTACGTCCCTGCTTTGTTGGTCTTGGTGAGGTTTGCACAATAGTTAGGAGGGGAACTGCTTCAAGGCGAACTTGACAAGTCATAGGTTGACGTAAGAGCCTGAAGGACTCACGGGGACAAAAGCAGTCTCTTGGGGGTTTAGTTCCTGGTTCTTCGCTCAGTGCTAGTCTTCAGGTCTCGGGCTAGGCAAAATCAGGGTTGGGTGAGGCCCTAGACAAGCCTGTCTGTGTGGATGGGAAAGTGGGAAGAGTCAGAAGTTCACCGGCTGGATTCTGTGTTCAATGTACTGATAAGTATCCGTTGTTAATGTTTGATTTAAAATCCCGTTGGGAGAAACTGGAAATTTATGTTTGATTCTTGAACGTTCAGGCTACTTTGATCCAGTCTCCCAGAGGGCATTATTTGGAAGACACGAAAAGGTTTAGTGCCCCCCAAATGTAAGCAATTACCCTTTCAAAATGTGGAATTCCTTGGAGGCTCACCTTTCTAGGTCTGCAATTTTTCTGCACACTTGAAAATGGACTTGGCTGATTTCTGGGGACACATGACATGACGAGTCATTTATTCTGCCCACAGGTACTGATCGGGGTGGGAGATACTGTGTTTTGTCCAGTGCCTTTCTTCCAGTGCGGTTAGGGTTAGGCTCTTGTCAAAATCTCCAAATATCTTTTGACATCCTCCCAAACCCGTAGTTTGCAAAACTACCACCTGCCCGAAAATACGTGCCCTGACCTCACCCACCTTTTGCAGTGACTTCTGTCTGTGGCTGCCGAGTCACAGATGGGGCTGCACGCGGGCGCTCACTTTGGGTTCTAATGTTCTGTGATAAAGCCAGACCCACCTGCTCTGATGTTGCAGAAACCCAGTTTCATGAAACCAAATAGAAAGTCCATTAGAGGAGGTTCAAAGGCTACACTGGATACTTCGTAGGCCCACTTCCCAATTTTTGTTTGTCTCAGAGCCTCATTACCATAATTTTGACATCATTATAGTGTTTGGACCTGTGGATGCATTTTTTCCCCTTCCCTTCAGCTGCTCCACTGTAAAGGTCTGATAAGAATAAGGAGGTCATGGGGCAGATGGAGCCCAGGGGCTTGAGTTCTGCGCGGAACTGTAAACCGAGAGCTCTGGTGTATCTCTCGGGCACGGTCCTGCTCTATCAAACTCTCATGGCTGTGGGCAGACTTCGTGGCAGGTGCCTTACGTGTATACTACGGATGCAATCCCCACCTGTAGGGTGAAGGCATGCCAGGTTTTTTCCAAACTGCCAGATACCAGTACACGTGTTGACTCAGAAGGTCTAACCCGACCAGGAGGAATTAGCTCTTGCCCACGTTTGTCTCAGTGAGACCACCGCTGTGAATACTGGGTCTGAGTTCCCAAATGCAGGCATTATTTGACCAAGGGTGGACCCCAGGGTGGCACAACAGAATCTCACCGAGTCTGTGGCGACCTTGTGCTTCCAAGATGGTGCCAAGACACCTGTTTGAACACGTGCAAAGAGTCAGCTTTGCATTTTGAAAACTCATGATCAAATGTAAAGAGGCTGTATTTTAATGAAATACGTACGGAGAAGTCACAAAGAACTGGTTTGGGAGACGACGTTTCACTTTACAACTAGAATAGGACAGATCTTGGTGAGGTTTCATTTCACAACTAGAATAGGACAGATCTTGTTTAACACCTGCCAATCCCGAGGGCTTTTAGAGCGTTTTTCTAAGAAGACAGTAACAAGTATGTAACTAAATCCATCAAGTTGAAGGAGGGCAGGCTGGTCGATCAACCTGAGTGTTGATTTGGTCTCTGGGGTGTTGAACTTCTAGGAAATCGCTTTCCGTTTGCTTTTCAGGATCGTCAAGTACAGTGAGCAGTTTTCGTCCAACGACGCCATCATGTCGGGCTGCCTTCCTAGCAATCCTTGGGTAACGGATGACACCCAGTTCTGGGATTTAAATGCCAAACTGTATGTATTCGAGATATCGGGGTCCTTTTAAAAGTAACTTTTTGAGTTAGAATTCACACACCGTATAATTCACCCATTTAAAGTGTACAATCCAACGGTTTTTACTATATTCATCGAATTGTACAGCCATCACCACAATTTTAAAATATTTTCATCACCCAAATAAGAAACCCCCTACCCTTTAGCTATTACCCTCCAAATCCCCCTCCCCAAAACCCTCCAGTCCTAGGCAACCGCTAAACCTTCTGTCTCTACAGGTTTGCCTATTATGGACATTCATATCAATGGAATCACACAATCTGTGGTCTTCTGTGATTAGCTTTTTTCACTTAGCATAATGCCTTCAAAGTTTATCCATGCTGAAGCAGGTATTCATACTCAATCCCGAGTTACGGCTGAAAAATATTAATGTATATGCACACGCCACATCTCGTTTACCCATCCATCAGCTGATGGCCTTTGGCTTGTCTCTGCCATTTAGCGATTGTGAGTAATGCTGCTGTGAGCATTCGTGTGCTAGTTTTTATGTGGACATGTGTCTTTCATTTTTCTGGAGTATGTACCTAGGGATGGAACTGCTGGGTCAAGTGGTAACTCTGCTTTAACAATACATAGATCGTTTTTTTTGCGGTACGCGGGCCTCTCACTGCTGTGGCCTCTCCCGTTGCGGAGCACAGGCTCCGGACGTGCAGGCTCAGCGGCCATGGCTCACGGGCCCGGCCGCTCTGCAGCACGTGGGATCTTCCCGGACCGGGGCACGAACCCGCGTCCCCTGCATCGGCAGGCGGACTCTCAACCCCTGCGCCACCAGGGAAGCCCATAGAGCGTTTTTGAAAACAATCATCTTCATGGCTTCGCACTTTTGACTTCTGACTAGAGTAAAAATAAGTTCCTGGAAAGCAGAGCCCTAAAGCTGCCTTGGGGATTACACCACTCACTCCTTGGCTGTTTATGAAATTTGAACAGTTGTTGCTGCTACCTGTGCCTGCATAAATCTGTCGTCTGGAAGAGGGGGCAAAGGCCAAGATGCAGGGGGGAAAAGCCCAAGCTAACATAGGGGGGAAGAAGAGGGGGGCAGTTCAGAGGGAGCTGGAGCAGGAGAGGCAGAAGGGGCTGGAAGGAGCGTGTGGGGTGGGATGGGGTAGCTGGAAAAACAGAGAGCGTCAGGTACATGCCACAGCGGTGTCAGCGCCAAGGCCATCACCACCTAAGGCATGAGGAACACCCAGGTGGCACAGATCCGGCCAGGTGAGCAGGCGTAGCTGCAGAGGCCTTTCACCCCTCCGCGTAGCCCGCTATGGGCAGCAGACAGGTAAAGGAGGGCGCTCACCTGGAGTCGGGGGTCAACCGCAGAGCCCAAGACTCTAGAACCATCTTCTGGGGAGTCTTCCGGGGCCTCTAGTTATTAGGACGGTTTTCTGGAGCTTGTGTCTCTGTCGCAGTTATCAGAAGGGAGAGGCAGCCTGTACCTCCCTGTGCACAAGGATGTGCAGAAGTCGGCTCTTGTGGGGGAAAAGGCAGGGTCACCTGGCCAGGACAGGGACCGTCCTGAGAGGGTTTGGGAAGGAGGCGTGGATGCTGCCGGATGCTACGTGCAATGGAGAGTGGAGTATGGAAGCTTGAGGTAGAGATTTGCTGGTGAAGAAAAGAGGTGATGCTTATGTAGGAGCCCTTGATCATAGGGTACTGGGTGAATGCCAAATGAGCCCCACCCCCCAAAAATGGGAGGCCTTCTTCTTAATGGTTTAGATTTTAGAACGGTATTAACATCACCTGGGAAGCTTAAAAACAAAAACAAAAACAGGGACTTCCCTGGTGGTCCAGTGGTGAAGACTCCGCGCTTCCAATGCTGGGGACGCGGGTTCAAACCTTGGTCTGGGAACTAAGATCCCACATGCCGCGCAGTGCGGCCAAACAAACAAAACATAGCAGACGAAAACCCAGTATCCAGCCCTTATCTCCAAAGCCTCTTGTTAATTGGCCTGGCTTACCTCCTGAGCCCCATTAGCCCACTGATTTCAGTGAGCAGCGAGGGTTCACAAGACCGGCTCGGAGCATCCGCTCCCAGGGTTGGCCATGGACCGGCCGCATCAACGTCCTCCAGGAACTCGTGGGGAATGCAAGCTCTGGGGCCGCACCCGAGACTGAATCAGGAAGTTGGGGGATGGCACCCAGCAGTCGGTGTTTTAATGAGTCTCCCAGGGGATTCTGATGTCCGCTGAAGTTGGCACACCTGTTTGATGCCGGGCCCTGCTTCTTACTGTGTGGGCCCGGGCAAGGGTTTACCCTCTCTGAGCCTCCGTCGTCTTGGAAGTGCTATCCAGCTGGCCGCGTTCCCTTAGGGACCCAGCGATGGGTGTGTGTGTAAAGCACAGTGCGTCACAGATGGTGACTCCGTAAGTGGTAGCTGTTATTCCGGGATCCTTATTGTTTCCACGCTGACGTTAGGGAAGCGTAAGATCGCCTGACCGACTTGAGATACCACAGACATCACTTGTACCCAGTTATGGTTTCAGCTGTTGCACCAGTGGGCAACGTGGTGTCTGGGACTTGGGAACCTCTGTTTCCCAGGGGCTGTGTTGGGTTACGGAGAATTCCATAAGGAATAGGAGAAAAGCCAACAGTTTTCTGGATTTTCTAGACCGTGAGACCCACCCCATGCTAGCTGGGCTCGCGTGTCCTTCCTGAGATCGAAGCGTGTTCAGAATGAGCGGCGGTGGAGTGGGCCTGGCATCGTAGGGGAGGCTCTGGGAGAGGGTGCACGGCCGGCAGGGCCTGTGGGGTGTCTGCCTGGGGGCACGGGGCCTGAAGCCCGGCAGGAAGGGTCACCAGATGTTCCCGTGGGAAGGGGGTGTTGAGGGGGGGCAGTGGCCACAGCACCCATCACCGGGGCCATTCTGGGATTCTCTCTGGTCTGGTGTGGCAGGCTGGCCCCCTGGTCTCCACAGGCCTTCGAGGAGGCGTGCACGTCCCTCTGCCCTGAAGGGTTAGCATGAGGCTCTCTGCTGGGGGCCTCCTTCCCCCTGCTGGGGAGGCCAAATCCTGAGACGAGGCCCAGGGGACGTGTCTGAGGCTGCATTTTCCAAGCAAGGGGTTACTCGGCTTGTTTGTGCGGGTATGGAGGAGGGGAGGGTTGGGTCGTGCCCTGGGCCGGGGGACTCGCGGAGGTTAGCAGGGGCTGAAGCCCCCTCGCCGCACGCAGGCCCCCTGGGTGCGGCCTGAGTGTCTGGAGCATTTACAAATTGTGGTCCTTGCAGGGTGGAATTCCCAACCAAGATGCGGGTGGAACGATGGGCTTTCAACTTCAGCGAGCTGATCCGAGACCCCAAGGGTCGACAGAGCTTCCAGTACTTTCTCAAGAAAGAATTCAGTGGTGGGTCTCTGAGTTTTTTAAATAAAACATTTGCTTTTAGAAATATTCCTGAATGTCTAGCCTAGGACTCCGAGGTTGCTCGGCAGGTGTTTCCATAGCTCTGCTTGGGCCGACTCTCATCCTGGACCCTGTCTCTCCATTGGCTCCCGGGGGCCCCGCAGTCGGGGGAATTGCTTTGCTCACAGAATCCACGTGGACATGACTCAGGTTTCCAAGGCTCCATCCCCTCTGGCTGCCCTCACTGGCTCACCCTGATCCCTGGGTCTCCCACCCTCGAGCTCCCGGGTCTGCTGCCGCCATGTACCTGGTTTTCTTCAGCTCAGGGCCCCTCTGCCGTGGCCGCCCATGCAGTTCACCTGGATCCCATCCCCAGAGGTTCCTTTTTAATTGGTTTGGGGCGGAATCTCTGAAGTCTTGAAAACTCCCCAGGTGATTCTGACATGCGGCCATGATCGAGAGCCACTGTCTCAGCTCCTGGTCTGCTTCCTTGGAGGATTTGAATGGAATGGATGAGGCCACATTTTATACCCCAGCCGTCCGGAGGCCCCTGCAGCCTCGTAAATACACTGCAGTGGGAGACACCTGGGAAAAGCAAAGGCCAGATCGGGACCAGCTTCCCTATAGGCGGAGCATTCCATGGGCTTCACCACCTTCCCTGAAAAGTTTACTTTTATGGGGTTCCTTTATTTCTCTCCAAGTCCCCAGTCGTGGGGAGCATCGCATTTGAGCCTTGACACGGCCTGGCTCCCCAGGACCCACTGGCCTGTGAGGTTGCACCTGAAAGTATCCCACGGGACTTGCCATAAGCCTGTTTGACTGCCGGATGCACACATTACATGCTAAGATGGATTCTTGAAAATCGCTTTTTTTCTGATTAAGCCTAATTGCCGCGAGGTGATAAAACCCAGAACAGTTGGATGGGAAAGGGAGCTGCTTTTAGGACAGGCCGGAAGCAACTGGTGAATAAGTGGATCCGGCGCCATCTAGTGGTCGGCTAACAAACTACACTCTGAGCTTATCCCACCCAGGCGTCACTTAGTGTTGGTAAGAATCCATCCCCAAGATTTCCCTGCGTTATTAAAAGAGCGCTATTGGTGATCTCGGGATGAGATTCCCGAGGCTTCCGGTACGAGCAGAACACGTAAATAATCAGTTCATTTAATTAAAATTTTAAAAATTGAGATATGCTTCACATGCTATAAATTCACAGACCGTATCATTCACATGCCCTTTTAAAGTGTGCCGTTCAGTGCTGTGTAGTAGATTCACAGAGTTGCACAACGATCACCACTATATAATTCTAGAACCTTTTCACCACCTCAAAAAGAAACCCCTGACCCATAGAAGTCACTCCCTATTTCTCTGTCTTCCTCTGCTCCCAACTCCCCAGCCCACACCCCCAGCCCTAGGCAACCACTAATTTACTTTCTATTTTCATGGACTTGCCTGTTCTGGACATTTCCTATAAATGGAATCATACCATGTGTGGCTTTCTGTCCTCTTTCACTTAGCATAGTATTTTCAAAGTCCATCCACGTTGGAGCATGTAACGATGCTTCATTCCTTTTCATGACCAAATAATATTCCATTCTGTGAAGATACCACATTTTGTTTATCTACTTCTCAGGTGGTGGACATTTGGGTTGTTTCAACTTTTTGGCTATTATGGGTAGTACTGCTATGAACATTCATGTACACATTTTTCTGTGCTCATTTAATTTGTTTTTTACCCTGGTAAAATATTCATAACGTAAGACTTACCATTTTAACCATTCTAAGTGTAGAGTTCAGTGAAATTAACATCACTGTGCACCTGTCACCACCATCGGTCGCCGGAAATTTTTTATCTTCCCAAACCGAAACTCTATCCCCATTAAACACTAACTCCCCACTCCTCCACTCCCCGCCAGCTCCTGGGAACCATTCTATTTTCTGTTTCTATGAACTTGACGACTCTGGGAACCACATATAAATGGAATCAGACTGTCTTTGTCCTTCTGTGTCTGGCTTGTTTCACGGAGCATGCTCTCTTCAAGGTTCATCTACATTGTAGCTATGTCAGAACTTCCTTCCTTTTTAAGGCTGAATAATACCCATTGTATGTATGTACCACATTTTGTTTATCCATTCATCTGCTGATGAACGTGTGGGTTGTTTCCGCCTTTTGACTAGTGTGAATAATTGCTCATTTAATTTTACCCTTCAGCAATTAACCGTCTTGCCGTGGGCAAGGTGGTCTACAGGGCACTTGCTGTAAGACCAGTGGCTGTCACTTAAGAGCACTGCTGGCCTGCTTACTCATGCTTGTGATCTCGGTCCCAGGGGCACCCTGAATTTCATGCTGAAGAGGAAGGATCTCTGTGGAGTTACGGGACAGAGGTCAACTAGTTTAGGATCGTGCAAACTTTTCCAGTCTAAAATACCTGGGAGCCTTCCAGAGAATACTGGGAATGGAGAGGAGGGCATGGTCTGGTCCATTTCCGCCCACCATGGCATTCTGTGATTCACCTCCCCCCTGCCCCACATGCACACACAGGCACACACACACATGCACACACGCGAATACACAGACACGTGTGCACGCACAACGTACACACACACACACGCACACGTAAGCTCTTGCTCTCCCACTGGACTGACCCCGTTTATTTTCTCAGGCGGAAACTGGCCACCTGGGATGGCGCACCGAGGTGTCCCCACTACTGGGGGCTGGGAGGACCCCCTTCCAGTTAGAGAAGTTGGAAGGAAACGGGGTGGGGCAGAAGCTGGCTTTCCTCCTGGGCCCAGAGGCGCAGACTCTCCGGCTCAGGTGACCAGGCCTTCCTGAGAGCCAGCCCGTCAGCATCGCTGCTTCGGCAGCGTCTCCGTGAGGGTCTTTGGCTGGAATACGCCCCGCGAGGAGCCCTAAGAGATGGGCTCTCTGTGCACAAAGGAGGTGGGAGTCACGTGCGTCATCGACCAGGCGCAAAGTCACCAGGACCCTTCACGGAGAAAACCTACAGAGCAGCGACGCATGCGTCCCAGCCTAATCAGATGTCACTTGTCCAAGCAAGGTGTGCGACCTCCTGGATGAAGAGGAATGAGACCGCCTCTGGTGGTTCATCTGAGCTCTGACTTGAGTGCCCTGGGGGAAAGCGCAGGTTCCCGGCAGACACGTGGGCTGCACACACAGGGCACGTGTCCCCCTGGAGCACGTAGGTGTGCTCACTGGGGTAACAAGCCTCTCCGGGCCCTGGACAGAGGACGTGTGGTCTCGCCCCCGCCGTAGTCGCTGCTCCAGGACGGGATGTACCCCAGCTGACCCGTTTCTCTTCTTTCCTCCCTTCCCCTCCCATCTGGACTCCTGTCCGGCTGTCCCCGTGGACCCTCCCCCCCCCCCCGCCCCCCCCCCCCCGCCCCCCCCCTCCCCCCCCGCACAGGGGAGAATCTGGGATTCTGGGAAGCCTGTGAGGATCTGAAGTACGGAGATCAGTCCAAGGTCAAGGAGAAAGCGGAGGAGATTTACAAGTGAGGATGAGCCAGATTGGTGGGGAGGTCTCCCCCCGGCACCCCAGCTGCCCGCCCCCCCGCGGTTATGCTTGAGGTCGGAGACTGGATGGAGGCCCCCCGCACCTCGCATCCCCATCAGTCACCTCACCTCGCGCTGTGGACACCTCACCCCTGCTCCGGGAGGCTGGAGGTCCTGGGAGAAAGCTGGGGGAGGGTCAGCCCACCCACTTTTTGCTCTCTCTCTGCCAGAGGTTGGGAATTCCAAAGTCAAACACAAGTTCACATTCCCGATGCTGGCAGGGCTGTTTTCTTGCTTCTAAGAAATGTTGCTTGATGGCCTGTTCAAATGCTTTAGTGTCTCCTAAAAAAAGGACCACTTTCACCCCGGGGGACCCAACCCACGACTGTCAACCCCTCGCTCCCAAGCAGCTGTGAACTTTTCATTCACTGACCTGGTCTGGCTACTTTTGCTGACATCTTCCTCCCCGTCTCAGGCTGTTTCTGGCCCCAGGGGCGAGGCGGTGGATAAACATAGACGGCAAAACCATGGACATCACAGTCAAGGGGCTGAAGCATCCCCACCGCTACGTGCTGGACGCCGCACAGACCCACATCTACATGCTCATGAAGAAGGTAGGCGCGGCCGTGGTGAGGGTGCACGGAGGCCTGGAAGCGCTTCCCTCCCCAGGTGCTGGGAGGGTTCTTTAGATGTGGGGAAAAGGGAGAGAATGCGTGGTTACTGCTTTGCGGTGTTAGATGCAGGGCTGTCAGCTGTCTCTCCCTCCTGCCCGCTGGGCTGGCCCCTCCTTGTGCTCCTGGGCCCCCTGGCCAGGGAGGGCTGCCTGCAGAGGCTGTGTGCCCTGTTTTGTTTTTTTTTTTAATCTATTTTTTAAATTTTATTTGTTATTTTTGGCTGTGTTGGGTCTTTGTTACTGCGCGCGGGCTTTCTCTAGTTGCTGTGAGTGGGGGCTACTCTTCGTTGCGGTGCGCGGGCTTCTCATCGCGGTGGCTTCTCTTGTTGCAGAGCACGGGCTCTAGGCGCGCGGGCTTCAGTAGTTGTGGCATGCAGGCTCAGTAGTTGTGGCTTGTGGGCTCTAGAGCACAGGCTCAGTAGTTGTGGCACACAGGCTTAGTTGCTCCACGGCATGTGGGATCTTCCCGGACCAGGGCTCGAACATGTGTCCCCTGCATTGGCAGGTGGACTCGCAACCACTGTGCCACCAGGGAAGCCCCTGCGTGCCTTCTTAAGGCTTCTCACTCTGCAGTCGTCGCATAGACCGTCATGACATAGTGGCTGCACCAATGTACATCCCCCCCACCGTGTAGGAGGGTTCCGTTTTCTCCGCGCCCTCTCCAGCATTTGTTATCTGTAGACTTTTTGAGGATGGCCATTCTGACCGGTGTGAGGTGATACCTCACGGTAGTCCTGATTTGCATTCTCTAATGATTAGCGACGTGGAGCAGCTTTTCATGTCCCTGTCGGCCATCTGTGTGTCTTCTTTGGAGAAATGTCTATTTAGGTCTTCTGTCCACAGTTCTCATGACTTTGACTGCTACTACTTAGTCTTTAGAATGGTACCGTTTCAATAAATTTTTTAAAATTCTCAATTGGTCGTTGAGAAATTCTCCTAGATGTTTCTGTGGGCTTTGTCCCATGTATGTTACGACTAGAGTTTGCAGTCGGCTTGCGGGGAGCAGGCGTTCAGGAAGTTCCCTGAACCTGCCGAGGGTCCCAGTAAATAGCCACACAAGAGGAGTCTGAGCCTGGGGCTGTTTTTGGTTGGGCTGGGTTTGGTATCCTCTTGCCTTTCTACTGAAATTCAGGGGAGAAGGGCTTGTGAGTGGGCTTGGAAGTGGAGGTAGCGGGTGGGCAAGGTTGGAAGCAAGGGTCTGCTGTTTTGTGCATACTTCGCTGGAGAGCCCTCGAGATTCTTTGGGGGCGGCTGTGGACCAGGGTTCTCTAGTGTGAAGGGCGGCAGCATCTGGCCAAGACTCAGCATGTCCCACTCCCCGGGTCTCCGAGAATGTGCATTTCTAGCAAGTGGCCGGGTGAAATGGACGCTGCCGCATGGGGACCACACTTGAGCGCCGTGGCTTTAGACACACATCTGAATGCCTTGCACACAAGGATACAAATCCTCTTAACTTTGCAATCTCACTGCCGAGGGAAGGCTGGGGAAATGGCCAGTGTATTCGTTTTTTTTTTTTTTTTTTTTGCGGTACGTGGGCCTTTCACTGCTGTGGCCTCTCCCGTTGTGGAGCACAGGCTCCGGACGCGCAGGCTCAGCAGCCATGGCTCACGGGCCCAGCCGCTCCGCGGCATGTGGGATCTTCCCGGACCGGGGCACGAACCCGTGTCCCCTGCATCGGCAGGCGGACTCTCAACCACTGCGCCACAGGGAAGCCCCAGTGTATTCGTTTGATGTGACACTTTCCCTCTCATAATAACTGTTTTTCTCTTGTTCCCACTAGGACTCTTATGCCCGCTACTTGAAATCCCCAGTCTATAAGGAAATGCTGGCCAGAGCGGTTGAACCTCAGGAAACCACCAAGAGAAGGCAAGTGGAATGGGTTGCAGTCACTCATTGCCTGCTGCTTTGTTTACAGGGAAAGGAGGGTCTCTTTCAGCCAAACGGCTATTCTCAAGATATTTGCTGGATGAAAATATTGGGGACTGGGAAGTATTTCTCACCATGCTCTGAAATCATGCTGGCAAGATGCACATAGTAATTACTGCCAGTAACTTTTGTTTCCCTAACACTGGTTTCAAAGAGTTTTGATTATGAGCTGGGATAATGACCTTTATTACAAATGGAAGCATCTCATTGGCTTTTTAATTGCTGCGCTTCTCCACCTCCAAACTGATGTGTAGCAATTAATTTAGCTACATCCTGGTAATGTCCTTTGTAATGGCCTAAGACTGTGGAGAGGAGAGCAGATTGCACCCCAAGAAAAATATAGACTCTTAGGGAAAATGTACAGGGAAACTCTAAGTATTCTTGCTGAGCCAGGGGGACGGCCTTCTTTATTCATTCTCACCTTCCTCATTGGAGATATGGAGCATATCCCATCTGGCAGAGCCCTTGGGCAAAGGATGAAATGTTCTGAGGGGCAGTTTGGGCTCCTTTTTGGGGGGAAAAAGAAAACTCAACAGGGACTGAAGATTCAAAAGAGTATCCGAACGGCAGCTTGAACAAAGACGCAGGACTTTGGCGGAGGTTTTCCCAGCGCCAGCGCATGTCCTGTCCGCCCCTCTCCCGGCCCCCCCTTAGTAGATGTTCTCCGCCCCGTTTGCCAGCTCAGCCCACGCTGGGCTCTTTTTCCATAGTCTCCAGTCAATTCAAAAGAGGGGTGGTTGGACCAGAGCCTTTGTCAAAGGAGCTTAAAAAAACACCCCAACTTGGTTTCATTCTTGAGGATAATGGCCCTGTTATGAAAAGGAGAGAAAGGAGGTCTTTGTGGTGCTATTCTTCTAGGTTCACGGGGTAAGGAAGGGAGTTCAGTGTCCCTGGGGACTTGAAAGCTTTTCTTTAAGCCACAAGAAAGGGCCATAATAGCTCCAGAAGTTCTGCCAGAAAGTAGTGGGGAAGGGAGGAGAGCTTCGTATGTCTCTCTCCAGATGTTTTTTAAGTTGGCACAGACCTGAGAGATCAGCTGAGATCTTTTGCGGGGCATCCGGGTGCTTGGCTGGGGCGGCACTAGACCGCAGGTGCAGTGCTCGGCTGTGAGGTCGGGTACCGCTGTCCGGTGGTGCTTGGCTGGGGCGGCACTAGACCGCAGGTGCAGTGCTCGGCTGTGAGGTCGGGTGCCGCTGTCCGGTGATGCTGTCGCCGCTACCGCGGGTGAGAGCACCCCCGTGGGACGTGGGAAGCCCGGCCTGGAACTATGTGGGGATGGCAGGGCGGGTATGAGTTTGCCCCGTGACTCTCAGGCGTGAGACAGCGCACAAAACTTAATTTTTCCAGAACAAGTTAAATGGAGCTCCAGGCAGGCAGGGCTGGTGGGAGCCCTGACTTACGGGTAGGGGAGCCCTCTTCCTCCCTAGGGTGGATGCTAGAGTTCCAGGGGCTTACGTGGTCCTGAAATTTGGGGAGGTCCTAGGTTTTAAGTCTCCCCTTGCTGCTGAAATGCTCATTTTCCAAGTATGCTCTCCATCGCCTGCCTCACTCAGAGCTTTGTCTTGGCTCCCGAGGTCGTGGTGGAGAGTTTGGGGTCGGGGATCCACGACTGGCTTTTGTTGAAGGGGCTGACGGTTCGCGCATGCGCACAGTGCTTTGGAGAAAGGGTCCGCCGGGTCTGGTGCAGGCGCGCAGCGCACGCCTGCTCATCACCCCTCTTCAGGACCCATCCCCTTGCTCTGCCCGTGCAGGCTCGCTCCTCGATGGCCCCGCTCTTTCCTTCCTTTCCAGAACCTTGTTTTTTTTTTTTTGCGCTATGAGGGCCTCTCACTGTTGTGGCCTCTCCCGTTGCGGAGCACAGGCTCGGGACGCGCAGGCTCAGCGGCCATGGCTCACGGGCCCAGCCGCTCCGCGGCATGTGGAATCCTCCTGGACCGGGGCACGAACCCGCGTCCCCTGCATCGGCAGGCGGACTTTCAACCACCGCGCCACCAGGGAAGCCCCAGAACCTTGGCTTTTGAAAACAAGCGTTCCAATTCTCCCTGGGGGCCAGAGCCCCTGGGTTTCCAGTATCCAGACCCTCCTTGTCCGCTTCTTTCTGGAAGGGCCTCCAGGAAGATAAGATGCCTCGTTGATTTCTAAACCTCATGAACGGTAGTCTGTACTTGGCACCATCTGAGTCTTCCTGGCCGCGTCTAAGCCTAAGATATGATGGCAGCTGGTCCTCAGTCTGGTCCCATCCTCCCAGCGGGGAGAAAAGAGCCACGGCTGGATGTGCCTCTGAGGGCCCCCCGTGAGGTTCCCCGCGGGGATAAGGGGCCGATCCGGAGTCCGGCCTCACCTCCCGCCAGGTGTGCCAGTGTCGCTTCGGGGAGCGCGTGGCCCTCCACCAGCCACTGTTCTCTCCTCCCTTTCAGCTCGAGCCTCCGGTTCATGCGGCGTCCCCTGCGCTCCAGCCCAAGCCCCGTCATCCTCAGGCAGCTGGAAGAAGAAGCCAAGGCTCGGGAAGCGGCCAACACGGTGGACATCACCCAGGTCATGAGCAAACTGGATCGCAGGAGCCAACTCAGAAAAGAGCTGCCTCCCAAATAAATGCACAGTTACTTATTTATTCCTGGGGGTGGGGGAGAGTCTAGAGGGTTCTGCGCCCCATTCAGGGGGCGGTGGGCCAGTCGGGTTCACCCCCGGTTCCTCGGACCCCTGTCTTGGGCTTCCTCTTACCCCTCCAGATCGCCAAGGGGCCGGGCGGGCACGGGGGAGGCGGGGAGAGGGGGGCTGCACCTGACTCCGTTGCTGTGACATCGCCTGTCTTACCCTCCGGAGTCCTTGGGGGTGAGAACCAGAGAGAAAAGCTGCTTCGTGAACCGCCATTGGCGAGAAGGGCGTCGTTAACTACCCCCAGGGCATCGTTCCGCATGTTTGTTTCCAGTAGCGTCCAAAGCTCCTCCTCTCCTTTCTCCAATTTAGACTCTGCCTCTAAAGCAGCCGGGGACGGGGCGCCCCAACCAGGGGCTGGCTGCAGGGCTCCCCTGTAGATGCCCTTTCCTGGGGCCCCTCTGTCACACCTGCCTGGAGAAACTCTGCTGAGACTTTTCTTTTGAGCTTGTTCTTAGTCCTAAGTTTTGAGGGTTGGTGGGCTCTCTCCTTCGCTTTTGCCTCCCCATCCCCCTTTTACATGATGCCAGGGGAATTAGTAGCTTGTAGGAATGAAGGACATAGGCCAGAGGCCTCCAGAGAAGTCCAGGTAAAATGGAGCATCTTTTTGGTTAAGGACGAAGGTGCCGATGTCTTCATTCATGGGAGGAGGGATGGTTAGAGATCTGTGACCTTTTCAAAATGAGTCAGGGTCAAAGATAGTACTCTTTGGGATGTTATCTAGATGTTGGTGCTTTCCTCCTCCATAGCTTTAGATTAGGCCAGCCTGTGGTCAGGGGTGGGGGGTGGGGTGGTCAGGACAGTTCCAGCTCTGACCTTGGAGGCCTAAAGGTAATTCTTGAAGTTGGGTTTGCTCCTGTACACCTGTGTAAGAATGCAAAAGAGATAAAGCAAGTGGATGAGCAGGTACCGACCTTCTGCATCAAGAAGACTCACTCAGCAAATTAACTGAGCACCTATTATGTGCCAGGCATTGGTGAATAAAATAGACATGTTCCCTGCCTCATGGAGCTTATAGTCCAGGACTGACAAAAAAATAAGGAAGCCAAGTGTATTAGGTAGCTGCTGCTGTGTAACAAACAAGCACACAACTAGAGTGGTATAGAAGAATAAGTGTTCATGGCTTATGCATATAGGGTCATCTCTGAGGTTCTGTTGATCTTCGTGGGGCTCATCCCCACGCCTGGTGAGGGTTGATCTGTGGCAGCCTAGGCCGGGATGAGTTGAAGGATTCTGCTCACATGTTTCTTATCCTTCAACAGCCTGGCCTGGGCATGATCCTATGAGGATGGCAAAATTGCAGGGGAGTCGGTGGAAGCACGTAAGATTCTTGAGATGAAGGCCTGGAACTGGTGCCTCATCTTAATAACCAAAGCGAGTCACAAATCCAGCCTAGAATCAAGGGCTGGGGAAATCGATTCTACCTCTTCAGTGAGAGAAATTTCAAAGTCTTCTGGCAAAAGACAGGGAGATGTGGAGGGCTGAAGAACTGAGGCCATCCTTGTAATCGGCAACTCAAACAAAAATATGATAAAACCCATAGAATGTGCTTTAATGCATATACAGTGCCGTAGTAGAGGACGCGGTGCGTGTGGACTCAGGGGGACTCTCTGAGGTGGCGGATAAGCAGAGAATGAAAAAGATTTGGCCATAGAAGGAGTGCAGGTGAGGCAGGAAGAACTTTCCAGGCAGAGGGAGCTGCATGAGCAAAGGCCCAGAGGTGGGAAATGGCTCAGACTGAAAGGCCAGATGAAAGGAACCTGGTAGACAAAGGGGCAGTGGTACAAGATGAGGTCCAAGAGGTGGGCAGGCAGGCCATCGCAGGCTTTCCAGGCCATTGTAAGAGGTTTGAGGCTCTTGGTTTCACGTTAGCAAAGGGATTCTATTAATCTCCCTGTCTTCCCCAGTCATAGACTAGTTTACACTCTGGAAGAGCAACTACAGAGATGCTTTGTTCATCTCTCTTTTGAAGAATCTTGGAGTCCTCCAACGTAGGGGGAGCGCCTCAAGCAGAAATTTCAGGTGATGAACCATTGTAAACTGAGTGACATGAGGGAAGGGACCGTATCTCACTCACTATTTGGAATCTGATGCTTTATACCTAGTGAATTCTGCATAAACATATTACATGGATGGATGGATGGATGGATAGATGGATGGATGGATGGATGGGTGGGTAGAAAGACCTCCGGGTTTGGACAAGGCCTCTTAGACTCTTGTCCTCGTTCTGTCGCTAGCCATGTGGTCATGAGCAAGTCACTTCACCTCTCTGCTTCATAATTTTTGAAATGAGGGGTTGGGACCAGATCCATGTTTCTCAAACCAGAGTCAGTGAATTCCAGGAGCATACCCAGCCTGGGCCATCAATTTTACTTGAAGATTTGCAATGGGAGGGAAGTTAGATAGTTTTTTAAATTTCACATTAAAATAATCATGAATATATTACGAATTAGACTGCAAGCTGTACATGAATTTTTTAAGATAAAAGCTGAGACGTCAAAGATATCTCATGCCTGGCTGTGGCGGATTCAGGCTTTTGCCCTCAGACTCCTGGGAGAGCATGGTTGCCCAGTTCTCCTGCTGTTGGGCCTACTTCTGTGGGAAAGTTTGAGAAGCATGGAACTGGAGGTATTTGCCCTCCATCCTAGTTACCCCTGTATGAGCTGAGGTTACACACCTAGCAAAATGGTGGTAGGGTGGTGGGAGAGTTGAAATGCACCTTGAATTCTTCAGGACACAGAGTATGTCTTGTTCATCTTTGACTCAACGATTCACCAGCCCACTCCTCACTCTTGAGACGTGTCTGCTTCATGTGTCTGTCATCCTCCTGCAGAGTACCCAGTGCTCTGTGTCAGACACATAGTAGGTGTGGCGCACGCATTGATGGAAACCTTCTCAGTGTCAGACACACAAGAATCCCCAGTCAAAGGAGAGGCACAGATATGTCAACAAAGTAGGTTATCGTTCCTTATTGGACGGATGAGTGCTTCCACATTACCCTTCTGAAGGAAGGGAGATGACACATGCCTTCACTTCTGGATGTGTTCCACAAGTGTATTCTATATATTTTTTATTATTAAAGTATAGTTGGTTTACAATATTATATTAGTTTCAGGTGTACAACAGTGATTCAATATTTTTATAGATTTTACTCCACTTAAACTTATTATAAAACGCTGGCTATATTCCCTGTGCTGTGCGTTACATCCTAGTATCATTTATTTTATACCTAGTAATTTGTACCTCTTAATCTCCATCCACAAATGTATTTTAAACACCTGTTTTGTGTGAGAGCCCATGGTTGGTGCTATGGCACAGATGCAAAAATGGACGAGGTGTTTTCTGCCCTCAAGGGGCTGACAAGGGTACATGGAGGCGATATAGGCTGGGTGGTGTGCAACACACTAGTGGAGCACAGAGATGGGGGAGAATTGTCTGGCCTGGGGGGTCGAGGGGGGTGCACCAGGAAATTCTCATGTTTGGTAGAAAGGATCCCTACCCAGTTTTGAGGTTTTGGAAGTGTGTCTGCTTCTAGACTCCAGCCACTGGTATCTGCTCCTGCCAGCTTTGATGCACTAACAGTAGCCCCACAGGGTCCATCTGAATCTCAAATGGTGTAAAAATAGTATTTATTTGGACAATAGTATTGATACATTTAAATTACTATGATATTCTCTATCCTGCCACGTACTTAGGCACCATCTTAATTCCACTAATGCCATATTGTAAACAGCTTGAGTTTCTCTACCCATGTGGTGTATATCTGATGCTAGAGTATAAGTTATGCCATAAGGTACCAGGATTCATTTTCAGGCTTGGATTTTAGAGAAAAGACTGCTTTTGTTGTGAGGATTGAGTGGAAATACAAGGGCTAGGGAGTAGAGTGCCTAGGAAAATGCCTGGCATATAAGTGCTCAGTAAATGCTAGCTGCCGTGATCGTCATCACAGCCATCATTATTATTACCATCACCACCATCATCCCCATCATCCTTACCATCACCATCACCACCATCACCATCACCA